ACCGTGCAATAGGCTTTTTTGGGCTGTCGCTCGCACCGTTTTTATGCACAGCGCAAACGCCAAAAATTACTCGAGCGAATTTACGACTATACTAGTATTTGCAATTGCATTCAATGAGTCCCTGTAACGGTTAATTTCCTAGAGCCCAAGGAACAATTTTAGGCCAAAATAACTTGCGAGATTTGCGAGATACTCTTCAAGTTTTGTTAAGAAACAAATTGTCTAGCGTCCTGCAATTTGCTGTACAGAGACTTGACTGTGTATACTGTGGCGGAGGACCTGATCCAGTGGCAAAAGACGTACCATTTTGCCCCCGGGAAGTATCAAAAATGCAGCGAAATACCTCCCTCTCCAACTAAAAAACTCCATTTTGAAAAGCGCGCTCTTTCTGTCGTAAGAAGAGACTCTTTCCCCGAAAAGTGGGGACCCGAAAAACATGTCCATATACCGCAACGACTTCTGATCTTAATTTGTCTCCAAATTTTATATGCAGTGGAGGACCTGATCCCATGGCAAAAAACGTATCATTTTGCATCCGGAAAAGCATCAGAAAATATGGCAAAATGCTTCCCTTTTCAAGTGAAAAAACTTCGTTTTGAATGGCGCGCCCTCGCCCTCACAAAAAGAGCTGGCGCGCTTCTGAAATTGGAGTTTTTCACTTGGAGAGGGAGGTATTTTGTTGCATTTTTTTTGGCTTCCCGGATGCAAAATGGCACGTTTTTTCCACTGAATCAGGTCCGCCACTGTACTGAAGTCTTGTTTGTTTTCAAGTTTTCTTTTTATAAATATTAAATATCAAGCACCATCTCATTCATTTTTCAATTTCAATTTTTCCACACTATTTTAAATGCCAATAACTCAGTCATTCCGTGAGCAGGTGCTGTAACATCGCACTGGATTATTTTTATTTTTATTCGATTGCCTTAAACTTGCGTTACTCTAATTATCCGGGAAATTCCAAAATTCCCTCACAGACTTTATTAGTTTCATATTTATAGTACTGTAGGACAAGCTTCCTTGTAAGTGGACGTAAACCAAGAAATCGGATATCGCCGCTTACGTTCGGTGTTTGTAAATCGTTGCAAATTCAGCTGGTGGCGCGTTGGGAGGGTGTAATATGATACGAATGTGGTTGATACATTGAAAAGTAAATTTTGGTTGTATTGGAATTGTTGGGAGATTTACAAAGGAAGTACCCCAAGTGCGACGCTCAGGCTTTGTTTAAATTTTGCACACACGTCGGGCATGGACTAAGTATCAATTCCTGAAAGTTTTAGCTGCCGAGATATTGAAAGATCTTTGCCCCCGAGAGAGCATGCTAAACGCGGAGAGCGGTCAGAGAGAAAAACACTTTTTGGGCATAACTTCGCTAGTTTCGTACGGAAAAAATTCATTTTTTGTGGAAGCATTACCCATTACAATAGAAATAGGCATGAAACTTTTCGTGTCGAAATTCTGCAAAAAGTGTCAAGTTTTCGCCGACTTTCGGTTTAAAATCTCGGCTGTTTCTGCAAAGCGCGAGCCAAAATTCTCGCATATATCTTAGAAAAAATTATTCTAAATTTGGCCAAGTTTTATCGAAATCTGAGCGTCGCACTTGGGGTACTTCCGCTGTTGGTATTATTTCTAAACTTGAAGGATCTAAACCTACATTTTACAAAAGGAAGTACCCCAAGTTTGACGCTCAGATTTTCTTTATATTTTGCACACATGTTGGGTGTAAACCAAATATCAATTCCCGAAAGTTTTAGCTTGCGCTTTGCAGGGAGAGCCGAGATATTCAACAATCTTTACGGCCGAGAGAGTATGCGAAATGCGGAGACCGGTCAGAGATAAAACATTGTTTTATCCGTTTCTTTGCCAGTTTTGCAGGGGAAGACTTTATTTTTTTATGGAAACACTACCCATTACGGTAAAAATAGGTGCGAAAATCAGTCTGTCGGGAAAATAACGCGTGCTCTGCCGCATCGAAAATCGCATCGCCGCAGAGAAAATGAATTGTCTCCCGAGAAAAATCAAATTTCCTTTCAGTTCAGCGACTTTGGCGTGGCGGCATTGTGCTCATTATTTTCCCGACAGACAGGTACCTGTTCTTTTGCCACGCTACGATGCATTGCCCTCTTATATGATTCCATCTTACATTCGTCAATGTTTCTCCTCATAGACGTCTTTCATTTTGCCGTTTTCTGCAGGAATCCCGCTCCGATTCCGTTGGAACTCAACTCAATTTTCTAATTTTCCCTTTTTTGGCCATTCAAAATAAATTCCCCGATTTTTCAAACAGTCTCAAAGAACGTTTGACAGTCGCTTATAACGACTTTGCGGCAAAACTCGGGCGTCTATGAGAGTTTTTGCCTTAGGCATTCCGCCGAATGGCCGTTTGTTATCAAAGCTCTTTGAACTTTGGACAAAAGAAGCGAATGGTTTCGGCGTTTGGCCGCGGGCCCTTTGAATGAATTCTTCATGATTTGCCCCCGTTCCTTCGACAATTATATCCCGAGGATGGCTTGAGGCAAGGAAAAGACGCGAAAGGAATTTCGAAGAGAGTTGCGACCTAATTGGGAATGAAAGTTTGGGGAAAAAAGTTTGGACATTTTCACGTTTACTACAGTAATTGGCTAAATGCCACACTTTTCAGCACAAATTGTAAAACGCCAAAAAAACTTGTCATTTTTAGGGTGCGTTATAGGGAGGTTTGCCTAAATTATTTAGCCTAAATTACTCAAAATTAAAAAGGAAAATTTTGTTTTTTTCACGGTGTGCGTCGCTGATTTTTTCCGGCGGCTTTCCGGAAGGACTAGCGCTTTGGTGTGCCTCAGTTTATCACTGTATGCATAAGAAGGCGTAGAGAAGACTCAGTTAAGAGAAATATATAATTAGATTGATCGGGTCCAAGAATAGTTTATCAACTATTTTGAGATATTTTTCATGTACTCACATCAATAATATCTAAATAAAAGTTATGGATTTTTGTCTTTGGAGCAAGATTTGGGCTTTGCTATGCGAAAATACAGTGATGGACCTGATCCAATGGCAAAAAACGTCTCATTTTGCATTCCGGAAGGGACTAAAATGACTCCAAACCCTTCCCTTCTCTAAGCTAAAAAACTCCGCTTTGAAAAGCGCGAACTTTCCTTCAAGGCGGGCTCTTCAAAGCGGGGTTTTTTTAGCTTAGAGAAGGGAAGGGTTTGGAGACATTTTGGTCCCTTCCGGGATGCAAAATGAGACGTTTTTTGCCATTGGATCCGGTCCCTCACTGGAAATCAGAATTAAGAAAACTAGCGTTAGTAATAGCTAAAATTAAAAAGTGGTCGTATTGCAAGTCTTTGCCATGTCTCCGCGAAGCCTTCGCCGAGCGTCCGCCGACAATCCAACGGCTTTATGAGGCCTCGTAGCCACTTCCTACGACCTTTTTCTTGGCTCTCCGCCTGTCCTAGAAATTGTATTGATCGATTTCGTGTTGCCCTGAACTGTTGTCGACCCAAAAAGTTGGGACGCTAAAATTTTCAATAATTAAAATGTGGCTATGTATACAAATTCCCTATGTATGTGCCAAACTTTTAAGACAAATCCAGGCTTCCCAGTTGGGGCTCTGCCATTGTTACCCTCTCATCCAAATCTTCACTTCTTGGCCGCGAAATAATCGACCATCTGAACGATTATCTTTGTTTCCTTGACGTTTTCATTCCTCAACACATTTCCCCATACTTTTGGTTTCTTTTATTCCCCTGCCTTTGTTCCACTTCGACTTTCGAAGTCCAAAATAAATCCGTAAATCCAAATCCCTCAAGGAATTTGTCATAATTGTTTTACGCTCTTTAAAATTTATATATTCTCCCTTCGAATTTTCAACACTAAATTGAGGTGGCTGAGTGATCAACTTGACGGGAATTTTGAAATTCCCGCCATTTTCGTCATATCAATTTTTTTGTCATTTTGATCGTCAAATTGAACTTTTTTTGCAAAATTTTTGTCGAGCAAAATGGGGCGACCTTCAAAACGACGTTTTTTTCACTTGGAAAGAGAAGCATTTTGCCACATTTTTTATACTTCCCGGATGCAAAATGGTACGTTTTTTGCAACTGTATCAGGTCCCCCACTGTGTTAACGGTCTTCATCCTAGTCTTTGTTAAACTCGGCTTCGTATATCAGAATTTTGAATTTACAATGGAAGTACCCCAAGTTCGACGCCAGATTTTCTTTATATTCTGTACACTTTTTTTGGCCATAACTTTGGCAGTTTCGTGCGGAAAAATTTGATTTTTTGTAGAAACATTATCCTTTACGGTTGAAATAGGCATGAAACTTTTCGTGCCAAAATTCGGCAAAAAGTCCTAAATTTTCGCCGACTTTCGATCTAAAAATCTCGGTTGTTCCTGCAAATTGCGAGCTAGGATTTTCGCATATATTTTATAAAAAATTATTCTAAATATGTCCCAAGTTTTATCAAAATCTGAGCGTCGCACTTGAGGCACTTCCCCTGTAAGCCAAAATTTCAAAAATGACGTCATTTTGAAAAATCCTATCAAATTGCCAACCCTACTATCAGTCTGTCGAGAAAATAATGAGCTCTCTGTCGCTCTGCCGATCGTGTCGCTAAAGGGAAACGAAGTTGATTTTGCCACGACACAATCCATTTTCTCATCGGCGATCCAATTTTCGTTGCGACAAAGCGCTTATTATTTTCCCGACAGACAGATAAAGTTGTTGTTCGATCTTCGGCGGACAACAATCTCTATATACAACGTCAAGAAGTTGAGCGAAAATCAACTTCTTTTCCTTGTTTTCGAATATTCCGCGTGTACTATCTGTTTGTTAATCTTATACTCGGGGGAGATGTTGGTTGTCTGGTTCGTTCCCGACTTGATGACGGCGAGTGGGAGTTGTAAAAGTGCGTTTAGGAAAAAAGGTTTTCGGCCGGGTATCGCGACGTCTTGACGGTTCTCTCAGTTTTTAATTTAAACTTTTTCAAATCACGCTCGTTTCAGGGTTGTTTGCCTATGGAAATGGAAATTGCCAACTTCAGTGATGCGCTGATCAACCTCAACGAGTCCGACAAAGAGGAGTGTGTGGAGGTGTACGAAAATTATGAGGAACTGGAGAAATGGCTGCTTGGTAAGGCTTTGGAAAGCCCCGAAATCTCAGAGAAAATTATAAAAAACTGAAAAATATGGCGCTACGATTTTTTGAGCCAACGACAGTTTGGGTTGACGATACTAGGGGGCCACACGTCAAACTGAGGAGTCCGCTGACCGGATAGACTCTTCGCTATCGGTTTTTTTCACTTCGTCTTGATTTCGCAGAGAAAGAGAGAAAAGAGACACGCAAAAACCTACTCTCTCGCCCCAAAAATTCCCCATTTCTTCCCCGACAAAACGTTTTTTCGCGTCTTTTTTTGGCAAATTTCCAACCCATTCACCGGACTGTTTTAGCTTATCTCAGTTTGATGTGGGCCAGGTCTCCGCTAAAGCCATTCAAAACAGCATGTTAGAAAACCTATAGCCGTGTAGGATCAACGACAAAACTTATCCGTAATAAGCAATTTCAGAGGCCTGTTGGCGATCTTTAGAGGAGAAGAAACTGCCTACAAAACGACAATTTCCTTCATAGACAAGAAAACTTTATACCCCTAGCAATTTTTTGCACAGAAATTTCACTGTCATTATACAGCGAAACCTCTGTATAACAGACCACAAGCCATCACAAACTTTGTTCGTTATAGAAAGGTTTAGCCCTACAATGAGTCAAAATTCCTAGCTGATTTTTAACGTCTGCACTGTGGAAAAAAGTGAAGATGTGAGCGACAGCCCAAAAAAGCCTATTGCACGGTACAAAAAAAAAAGAAATTTCACAGTGAAAAGAAAACTTTTGTTTTTGCATAGCGAGTTTCGCCAAAATCGCTCCTGCGACTTTCCAGACGGATAAGTATATTATAATATACGATCTCTTTCTTTTCCCTTAACTTCTACAGTAGCTGATCTGATCTAGTGGCTAAAAACGTGCCAGTTTACATCCGGGAAGTATCAAAAAATGTAGCAAAATACCTCCCTCTCCAAGTGAAAAAACTCCGATTTCAAAAGCTCGCTCGTTCTTTTTGTGAGGGAAGCCCTTCAAAACGGGGTTTTTTAGTTGAAGAGGGAGGCATTTTGCCACGTTTTTGATACTTCTGGATGCAAAGTTTTTACGTTTTTTACCACTGGATCAGGTCCGTCACTGTACATGATGTCACCAAAAAAATTATCAATTCAGTTATGTATTTTCAGGAGTAGTGGCGCTGCCATTCATCCTTGTCGGGCTGTCCGCCAACTTCATGTCCATGCTGATCTTCTCCCACAAAAACATGCGCTCAAACATGGTGAACTGGTACCTGATGATTCTGGCCGCGTCCGACTCGGTGATTCTCATATCCTCGTTCATTGTGCTGACCCTACCGCGCCTCGGCGAAATCCTGCATTTCTGGCGGCTGACGTGGATCAGCTACTACCTGGTGCCATATTGGTACGCCCCAATGGGCTCGGCCCAAACCATCTCGGTGTGGATGACGGTTGCCATGTCGCTGCATCGCTTCATCGGGGTTTGCCTGCCCTTCAAGGCGAGCATTTTGTTGAACAAGAAGAGGGCGAAAGTGGCCATCATTGCGGTGGTGGGCTTTGCCATCATCTTCAACATGACCCGATTCTTCGAGGTGAGTCTTTTTTTTTGTTTGTTTTGAGGGTAAAATACGCAACGATAACCAATGTCTTTGTTACTAGTCCGATAAGTTGCTGGAGCAATTTTTGGCGTAAAAATGAAATTTTGTTCTCGCAACTGTTCTCTGCATGTCGCAAAAATCAACTTTCCGAACGGACCGAACAGACTTTCTTAAAAATTTTTTTGAAATGTCATACATTGATTTTCACAAACGCAAAAACGCTATCATGCTTTTCAACTCAAACAAAGCCTACTGTAAGCTGTTTGCCAACTGAAATAACCGAAAATCGCCTTTTGTCTTTCGCTATATAAGGATGGTGACATACCAATCAAATCGGGTTTCATGGCCAGAAACCGTCATTTCTTGTCTGTAAGGCTTCTAGACAAGACATGCGGAATTCTTCGCAATTTGAGACAAGAATTACGCATTTCTTGTCTAGAAGCCTGACAAGCAAGAAATGGCGGTTCCTGGCCACGAAACCCCATTTGATTCGTATGTCACCATCCTTATATCCTGGTCGTTTTTCGCACTATCTCACTTCAAAATGTTGTAGCAGCATTTGGCATGAAAAACATCACCTAAAATCCACATAAATATTCTGAACCCTGTTTAGATTACTTTTGAAGTCTTCATGAACTTCTGCAGATAGATTTTTCAGCAGGTACCTTATGTATCACTCCGAAAATAGCTAACTTATAGATAGAGAGATGATTTTCAATGATATTTTACCCTCCATCAGTCTGTCGGGAAGATAATGAACACTCTGTCGCATCGAAAATCGCATCGCCGCTGAGAAAATACAGTGGGGGACCTGACCCAGTGGCAAAAAACGTGCCATTTTGCATCCGGGAAGCATCAAAAATGTGGCAAAATACCTCCTTCTCCAAGTGAAAAACTCAGATTTCAAAGCGCGCCCGCTCTTTTTTGTGAGGGAGCCCTTTAAAACGAAGTTTTTTCACTTTGAGAGGGAGGCATTTTGCCACATTTTTGATACTTTCCGAATGCAAAATGGTACGTTTTTTGCCACTGGATCAGGTCCCCCCGTTGTAAATTGTGTCGCAGCAAAATCAAATTTCTTTTTCCTTTAGCCACACGATCGGCCCAACGACATTCTGCTCATTATTTTCCCGACAGACAATACTTATTTTCTCGCCCAACTCCAACTTGATTTCAGGTTGAGATTGTCCGAGTCTGCCGCCACACTCCCATCAACGCCGAGCTCCCCATTTTCCATCCCACACCTCTCCGACTGTCCAGTCTTTATCGCCGCCTCTACTACGAATACGCCTACACATTGGTCATGTTTGTGATTCCGTTCACAATACTGATCGTCGTCAACTCGATGGTGATCTTGGCCATTCACAAGAGCAGGCAGATCCACGCCAAGCTAAACGTTTACGATGACGGGACGAGGAAGCAGGAGATTGCCAAGGAAATCAGCACTTCCATCATGCTGGTGGCGATTGTGGTGGCGTTCCTGCTTTGTAACACCTTGGTAAGTGGTTGGGCTTGAATTTAAGGCAAGGGGTGGCCGTGCAAAATTTTATTTTCTGTTGGAAAATTTATGAAATTCATTATTTGACCAAGAAATTTTGAAAAATTGACTTGATGTATATGTTCAGCCCTATATAACATATTATACGATGACCTTTCGATTTTCCAAAAATTCAGCATAAATTTTTTGTATAGGTTCATCGCCGAGACTTTCAGCCATCAGCGAACTTATTACGCAATCTTTTTCCGAGAGAGCACGCAAAATTTGGAGACATTGAGAGAAAAGAGACGTTTTTCGGCAAAATCTTTGCGAATTGCGCTCGGAAAAAAATGATTTTTTGTAGAAATATTGTGCTCACTATCTGCATCATTCAAGACGGAAAATCAACAAAAAAATTGTCGATTTTTCAAGAAATTTGGAGATTTTAAAAATTTTAGGTCACCTATCAAGTGCAATATAAAAAAAACCCTCTAACTCCCCAATTTGCAGACCTTTGTCGTGAACATCCTCGAAAACTGGGGCTACCCGAACTACCTAACAATGCTGGTGCCGTGGAGCAATTGGCTGGTGATGACCAATGCCTCAATTAACATCTGCATCTACTGCATGTTCAGCGACAAATATCGGCAATTATTTTGGTATTATCTGCGAGTGCTGGGATGCTGTGGATGTCGGCATGACTTCGAGGTCATTGTGAATCATACCTGGTCGTAATTTGTTTGGAGTCTTTGGATTTGGCTACAACTTTTTTTTGAAAACATTGGCATTACAACTCGGCATTATCAATCTTGAAAATCTTATCAAGAATTTTGAAAAAAATGCGATTTGGAAGTAATCTTTGAGATTTTAAAAATTTCAGATTCATTTTTATGATTTTCATTTCGCACAGTGCAATTTTTTGGTCAAAAAACTTTGCACTGTGCAAAAGTTTTGATGTCTAAAAAATCTCGAAATGGCCTCCAAATCGCACTTTTCATATTGAAATTGTTAATGGCTTTCAGCTACTTGTAAATACGGTTATAAAATTCATAATATTTTTATGAAAACATAATAAAACTTGATAAAAATTTATGAATTTTGACATTAAAAAAACGAAAAAAAAACAAATAAGATAACAGTGTAAACATTTGTAAAATCAAAATTCAAGGTCAAGACGGTCCAAGGGAAAGCGTGCCTCATTTTTTGGAGCATCCAAATCGCTGAAAACCAAGTCGTTTCCCTCCAAACGGAACGCGTATTTGTGTTGTTTGCAGATCTCCAAAACCTTGGTCATGGTTTTGAAACTGAGTGATTTGTGCTGAAAATATCGAAGTTAATCAAAGGCATATCGGTACTAGTCCGTCCCTGAAGTTATTTTGATTGAGTACGGAAAGGTCCGCTGCGGAAAGGTCCGCTAAAAAAAAGAAAAGAAGAGGGCGGGGGAGGGGTGGGGGGAGGTTTTCGATGGTGCTGATTTCGAAAAAACCATATAAATTTTTTCTGAATTTTACAATTTTGCTTAAGCAGTAGTGTCATTTTCGCTGTAAAGACGAAAAAAGCGTCATAAGTTTTCTTACAGTATCATACAAGTTTGACCAAGTTTTTACCAATTAAAACATTTATTTTAAAGAATTGAGAAAGATAGGCAAAAATTCAGAAGAAACGGATACAATTTTCAAAATCAGCACCACCGAAAACCCCTATTTCCATTACTCAAAAACATTTTTTTTTAAATTACTAATTAACACTACTGCTTAAGCAAAATTGTAAAATTCAGAAAAAATGGATACGATATTCGAAATCAGCGCCATCGAAAACCTCCCGCCCTCCCCGCCATCCTCTTTTCTTTTTTTTAGCGGACCTTTCCGTCCTTCGTGTTTTTCGGGATGTCGCTCGCACCCTGACTTTGTCCGCACCGTGCAAACCTCAAAAAAAACCGATTGCACTGTGCGCATTTTTGAGCAAAACCGCAGCGGCGCAGTTGAGAAAGGCTTACGTCGCAGCGATATTTCAAGTGCACAGTGCAAAACCAAAAAAAGGTGCGTGCACGGTGCAAGAACTCGGCAAACTTTTGTGCACGGTGCGGACTGCGACAAATGTCCAGGCACTTTGTGAAAATGCTAACATCATTGGCGCGCACTGTGCACAAAAGTCCCCGATTTTTTGCACTGTGCATTGACCTTTTTTTTGGTTTCGCACCGTGCATTTGAAATATCGCTGCGACGTAAGCTTTTCTCAACAGCGCCGTTGCGGCTTTGCTCAAAAATATGCACAGTGCAAACGGTCTTTTTGAGGTTTGCACGGTGCGGAAAGGCAAAAATCCACATTGCGTTGGCGACAAAGGTTCAAGGTGCACTGTGCGAAAGCCATCGAAAGAGACCCCGAGTTGAAAGAGACCCCGAAGGGTAATCGATGGCGTAGATTCCAAAAATCATATTCGTTTTTTCTGATTCTTACTTTTTTGCTTAAGTAGTAATGTTAAAGGTAATTTTTTGAATTTTTTCTAAAAATAGTCGATTTAGGGGTTATCGAGGGTGCTGATTTCGAAAATGACATTCATTTTTTTTTGATAGTTACTTTTTTCCTTAAGCAGTAGCGCTAAAAAGTAATTTTTTAAAATTTTTCTAAAAATACTGTTTTTTCAGAAAAAACGATCATCATTTTCGAAATCAGCACCCTCGATAACCCCTAAATCGACTATTTTTAGAAAAAACTCAAAAAATTACTTTTTAACATTACTACTTAAAAAAGTAAAAATCGGGAAAAACGAATATGATTTTTGGAACCTACGCCATCGATTACCCTGCTTTTGACCTTTTCGGCCATTTCGGGCAAACATCGAAAGAGACCCCCGATTCCGGGGTCTCTTTCAACTGGAATCCTTCGATTGCGACCCCGCTCGATTGCGACCTCGCATCGATTGCGACCCCGCATCGATTGCGACCCAAAATGGGGTAAAGCGACCCCGGGATGAAAATTCCTTGATTCTCTTTGGGAAAAACTTGCTTTAGGGGTTTTCGAGGGTGCTGATTTCGAAAATGATGTTCATTTTTCCTCTAGTATTACATAGTACTGTCTGATACTATATAGTACGAAGTGAAAATATCGCTTTTGACGTTAAATACTCGGTTTAGGGGTTTTCGAGGGTGCTGATTTCGAAAATGATGTTCATTTTTCCTCTAGTACTACATAGTACTGTCTGATACTATATAGTACGAAGTCAAAATATCGCTTTTGACGTTAATGGTGTTGTTTTGATGCTTAGTGCTCTTCAAAAACACGTTTTAATCACTTGGTGCTATATAGTACTATCTGATACTATGTAGTACGAGGTGTAAAGTTGGCCTTTAGGCGTTAGTGGTGTTGTTCTGGTGCTTAGTACACTTATTTTTACTTCGTACTATATAGTATCAGACAGTACTATATAGCACCAAGTCTTTGAAACGTGTTTTTGAAGAGTACTAAGCATCAAACCAACACCATTAACGTCAAAAGCGATATTTTGACTTCGTACTATATAGTATCAGACAGTACTATATAGCACCAAGTCTTTAAAACGTGTTTTTGAAGAGTACTAAGCATCAAAACAACAGCATTAACGTCAAAAGCGATATTTTGACTTCGTACTATATAGTATCAGACAGTACTATATAGCACCAAGCCTTTAAAACGTGTTTTTGAAGAGTACTAAGCATCAAAACAACAGCATTAACGTCAAAAGCCATATTTTGACTTCGTACTATATAGTATCAGACAGTACTATGTAGTACTAGAGGAAAAATTAACATCATTTTCGAAATTAGCACCCTCGAAAACCCCTAAATCGAGTATTTAACGTCAAAAGCGATATTTTCACTTCGTACTATATAGTATCAGACAGTACTATGTAATACTAGAGGAAAAATTAACATCATTTTCGAAATCAGCACCCTCGAAAACCCCTAAAGCAAGTTTTTCCCGAAGAGAATCAAGGAATTTTCATCCCGGGGTCGCTTTACCCCATTTTGGGTCGCAATCGATGCGGGGTCGTAATCGATGCTGGGTCGCAATCGATGCGGGGTCGCAATCGATGGAATTCCTTTCAACTCGGGGTCTCTTTCGGGGAAAACCTGCACTGTGCAACAGCGAAAAAATGTCCAAGCACTTTGTGAAAATACTCATAGACTGTGGCGCATTTCAACGGAAAAAAACTTACCCTTCCAACCGACGCTTCTCTGGAAACACTCGGCAAAGTTGATGAGCAAGAAGGCGTATCCAAAACTCTCGGATTATCCTCCGTTGGGCTCTCCGCAGGCTGTTGCAGTTGTGATGGGGTCTCAGCACCGGCCGGATTCGACTTTCTTCGTCCCCGTCTTGAGAATGAGCTCGTGGAAGGTCGAGAAATCGGCTTTGGTTTGAGAGGAAGATTCCGCTTTGACCTCTTCTTACTGAACAACTTGTTGGTTTTCATGGCTTCGATTAGGACTTGGTGAATCTGAAAAAACGATTTTTTGGATTCAAAAATTTGTTTTACACAAGCACATAAAAACTACTCACCTCTGTCCGATCCTTGGGCTTCACGATCCTGCTCTGAATCCGATATTTTACGTAGATCCTTTTGATGGTATCACTGTCGAAACGACCGCTCAATTCAGGATGCTCCTCGAGAATCGTGGCCTCGACTTCTTGGAAAATTTTGGCATTTTTTATGTCCGAAAATCGGCCCTTTGCCAGGTGAACAAACAACGGAGCAATGGTCTTGCAGACCAGCAACACAAATTCTTTGTCGTTTTCGAGCTGAAATTAGGTATAAAAAGGTTGTTATAAAATTTGGAGATATTTCTGGCGGAAAAAAGATTTCGCAGAAGGAGGACATGCATCACAAACTACAGGGTCTTACAAAAAACGTGAAGGAAAGTGGAAGGCTGTAACTTCCGGCGGAGGCGGCGCAGAGACTTCGTATTTGAAATATGAATTTTTAAAAGACATTAGTTTTTGTCTACGAAATAACAAGCTTTTAAAGTGCAAACGGAGGTCGCTACGACCTTTTGAAGTAGAGGCATCTCTGCCCCGAAAACGAGGTTTTTCGGTTGAAAACGATCGAGAAATTTCGGACTTTTTCGGTTGAAAATCACCAGGAAATGTCGGTTTGGGGGTTTCGATATGGATGATGTTAAAGGAAAAGTGCCAACACTTGCAAATTATGCAGGTTTTCTTAAAGACTATATCAAGAAACCCCAAAAAATCCGACATTTCCTGGTGATTTTCAACCGAAAAAATCCGAAATTTCTCGATCATTTTCAACAAAAACCTGGTTTTCGGGATAGAGATGCCTCTACTTCAGAAGGTCGTAGCGACCTCAGTTTGCAATTTAAAAGCTTGTTATTTCGTAAACAAAAACTGATGTCTTTTAAAAATACATATTTCAAATACGAAGTCTCTGCGCCGCCTCAGCCGGAAATTATAGCCTTCCACTTTCCTTCACGTTTTTTGTAAGACCCTGTAATATTGTATGTTATTTCTCTGTTCTGCTGGAAATATTTTACACTATAACTCATGACTTACACTTCCAGTACCCTCTTGAAATTCGGCTTCGTAAGGCTCACGTTCCTCGCTCTTTTCAACACGTCTCACCTCGACATAGGTGTCGTTGTCTTCGCGAGCATCAAACGAGGATGTTGAAGGATCTTCATGCTCTCCGCAGCTTCTATTAGACAACGACATATTCGCCGTCTATAAAAGAAAACATGAGACGAAAAAACGCCCTAATTTTATAAGCTATGCAACAGAAAAAACCGCTTTTTTGGAAAGAAATGGAAAGCCAACACTCTTTTTCCAAACAGCCTTCCTAAAAGAAGGCGAAAAAGAGCAAAAGAGCCCGCAAATATTTATTTTCAATCTCCAAGGTCCCTATTTTAAAGCAGCACGATTCTTCATTAAAAATTTCTGATACATTAGCAGAATTCAGATCAAAACTGTTTAAAAAAATACAAGTTTCGGAACGGAGTTGGATGATTGGGGAAAAAAAGCCAAATAACTGCAAATTTGGTAATTTATACCCAGATTTTTCAATAAACGGGAAAATAAACAATATTGGCGCCTGGTTTCAACCCAGCACCTATCAACACTAACGTTCGAGGAGCCAACTTTACCTATTTATACCTAAAATATTACTAACTTTCCGGCCACCGTTAACAACGTTAAAAACGTCGCGGATCGTTTTGAAAGGATTTAGAAATACAAAATTCTGAAAATTACGAAGACACTTGATCTTGTTTTATCTCTGAAATTCTTCCAAAAATAAAAAACCAAGAGCCGATAATTTTTTACATTCCGCAACAAAAGTCTATAACGAAACTCCATTTCGAACAGGAGCGTTTTTGGGATGATGCGGCCACACCTTGAACCCTGCGAAGAACTTTCAAAAATTTTTTCCAACATACTTTTTATTTTTTCCCGCACGATTTATTTTTAAAAATTTTAAAAACAAAAACGTCGAAAAATAATAATAAAATTAGAGATCTAATCTTCCATGAACATTGAGAGGAGAGCTACGCAAGCTGCGACATGACTCTGTCGATTGGGAGACGGAATTCATTTTCTGGCGCTTCTCGATCCGTGAGAACCAGCTCGTTTCCGTCCAAACGGAAGGCGTGTTTCGTTCGTTTGCAAAATTCAGCGACTTTCAGCCACTCTTGAAGGGATAAGCTCTTATTTTCGCGCTGAAAAAATTGATATTACAATAACTGACCTTAAAAAATAAGTATATGATCTTACAGGGGAAGTACTCCAAGTGCGACGCTCAGATTTTCTTTAAATTTTGCACACATGTCGGGTATGGACTAAATATCAATTACTGAAAGTTTTAGCTCGCGCTTTGCGGGCGCGGCCGAGATATCGAACGATTTTTGACCGCCGAGAGAGCACGCTAAACGTGGAGAGCGGTCCGAGAGAAAACCGCTTTTTGGCCATAATTTTGGCAGTTTCGTGCGGAAAAATTTAATTTTTTGTAGAAACAATATCCTTTACGGTTGAAATAGGCATGAAACTTTTCGTGCCGAAATTTGGCAAAAAGTCCAAAATTATCACCGACTTTCAATATAAAAATCTCGGTTGTTTCTGCAAAGCGCGAGGCAGGATTCTCGCATATATCTTAAAAAAAATTATTCTAAATTTGTGCCAAGTTTCATCAAAATCTGAGCCTCGCACTTGGAGTACTTCCACCGTTAGCCAAAAATTTGCTTACATTTGAGCCTTCTTCCCTCAAAACTTTCTCCGTCGTTGATGAGCCAGAAATTGGAGCGGTCTCAGAGGTTGTGGAAGAGTTTAGATTCTGACTCGGCTCCTTCTCAGTTAACGGCATTGGAGTTTGACGAGCGTTATTAGCCGAATTCTCATCATTTCTGGGCGCATTTGAGCCTCCCCCTTCTCTGATGACGCTGCTGGTGGGCGCAACAGCTTCGGCAGATGCTAACTCAATCCTTTGACTGTTTTTAGTCACACTTCTCCTGCTGACGGCCGCAGAAGGAGCTGCTGAATCGATTTCGTCGTCTTCGGAGCTCAACTCCAACACTGGATCTTTGTAATTGGCCACGGAAGATCGACAAGATCTTCTGGGACGTCCCGACGAACTTTCCGACCTTTCCGAAACCACAGTTGTATCCATTTCAGTTGAAAGAGATTCTAAGAAATTAGAATCGCGTTGACCAACAGACCGGTTAATTGTGTCCAATCTTCGGGAAAGAGATTCTGGTGAGTTCTTTGATAGAATGTCAAAAACAAGTTTGTCAATCTGAAATGAAAAACGATTATTTAACACCTCGAACATCTACTTGAAGTATAATATTATATATATTAATATTATATTTCATAATTTTTCTGTCCTCAAATGCTCGAAAGCAAAAAAAAGTGTCCATGCACATGATCGCCCGTCAAGAAAATACTGAGCGCACTGCCGCCGCGCCGATCGCTGAAGTGAAAAGCGATTTGATTTTGCCGCGGCACAATTCACCTTCTCGCCGGCGTCTCCATTTTCGATGCAACAGAGTGCTCATTATTTTCCCGACAGACTAAATTTTCTCTGAGCTGCCCAAACCTAACCTTCTAAATCTATCTACGTTTGTTTCAGCCCCAAATGGAGGCCCACCAAACCACCCAGCACAGCGGAAAGATCAAAAATTGTGCTCTAAATCGAATGATGCCCCAAAGTAATCCTTACCTCTCTCATTTTCCCGCTTTTCTTGTGGGAAAAAGCATGTTCTTTGCAGCGTTGCCAAGCCTGGCAAATGGCACTTAAATTTTCCGGTCCGGGATGACCCTCTCTGATCTCCTCTTCGATTCGCTTCCAAATCTCTTTCCCCAACTTGAAATTTCTTGTTCTTTGAGCTACAAAGAGCTCAGGATGTTTCGCAACGGCGTTGCACACAATGAACTTGAAGGCGTCGGAATAGTTCAAGCTTGTGACGGAGGTGTTCTGAATTGTTGTTGCGCTTCTTCGTGATCTCCGAGCATGCGAACGATCATCTTGATCGTTGGCGGTTGAGTTTTTGGGTGAGTTGCAGTTTCCGTTGCCGTTGACTTTCAAAGCCAGCTTCTCATCCTGAAATTGGGCTTATAAGTTAATAAAAATTTCGTTTTGCACTGTCCGGTCTGCAAATTCACTCACCGATTTCAGCTTCCGGCCAGAAGCAACCTTTTTTCTAGCTCGTACCGTAACCCCAGAAAGGATCTGCTGAAGTTTTGGGCGCAGCCCTTTTCTGCTGCAATTGGGAAGCCGCTCCAAGAAGCGTTGCTCGACTAGTGTCCAGAACACCGAGTTTCCGCCCGCCTTGTTGGATTTCTTCAAGTGGGAACAAGAAGCGACTGCTTCCATAAGTGCGGTGGTCTTTTTGATCTTCTTTCGGCTGTGCCGAGTGGTTTTGCGGGCCTGCACTTGGGGATGAAAGAAACATAGGTTAGGTGTGAGCAGCCCAGAGAAAAGTTAGTCTGTCGGGAAAATACTGAGCGCTCTGTCGCATCGAAAATCGCATTGTCGTCGAGAAAATGAATTTCGTCACGGCGAAATAAAATTGCTTTTCACTGTAGCGACGTGATCAGCTGCGACATTGCTCATTATTTTCCCGACAGACTGACATCATTTCCGAAAGCATTAGTCATTTTTATTAGGGCGAAGTCTAGGCATGGCGGACTTTCCAAAGTTTTGCGGCTCGCGCCGTCTAATTTTGCGGCTCGGCCCCGGGCTTCGATTTTCGAGATTCCATAAAAAATCGCTCCAAAATTTTGCATGATTACTTCAAGAAGACCAAGAAAAATGCATGGTCTTCCCCAGATGGGATTGCAATTTCATGGGTTCCAAAAAATCATTTTAAATTTTTCAGGTCCAAGCTAGGAAAATTTCGGGCCCAGGCTTGCAGGAAAGACACCAAAAACAGTCCAAGCTAGGAAAATTTCGGGCCCAGGCTTGCAGGAAAGACACCAAAAACAGTCCAGCTAGGAAAATTTCGGGCCCAGGCTTGCAGGAAAGACACCAAAAACAGTCCAAGCTAGGAAAATTTCGGGCCCAGACTTGCAGAAAAGACACCAAAAACATTCTCTTTCACTTACTTCTGACTCGTTGATTTCCATATTACATCCTTTTTTGAAGTTCAGAATCCATTGCTCACGCTGAAATTCGAAAATGAAAACTCTTTTTTATATAGTCCGTACCGCACACAGTCCAAACAAGTCGAATATTAATCACTAAAACGCTCAAACCAACCTTCGTTAACTCTCTTCCTTTGTTCTCCAAGACCATCAAATAACGGCGATGATTGTTCCAGGTAGCGGCAACCCGTGTCCTGAAATCCGGCCCTGCTTCCACCCCGTACTTGGTGGCCAATTCCTCCGCCACTTTTGCGAACGAATAGCGCGTGCCTCGGAATTCGTTTGGGTGTTTCAAAACCAGGTCGGTAATGTCGTCAAAAAATTGCCGACCCGAAACTTTGGTCTGAAAGAGAGGTTTTATCAGTCTTGAAATTTAGAGTTTGGTATGCTGAGGGCTCATACAGTGAGGGACCGGATCCAATGACAAAAAACGTCTCATTTTGCATCCCGAAAGGGACCACAATGTCTCCAAACCCTTCCCTTCTCTAAGCTAAAAACCCCGCTTTGAAGAGCCCGCCTTGAAGGAAAGGGCGCGCTTTTCAAAGCGAAGTTGTTTAGCTTAGAGAAGGGAAGGCTTTGGAGTCATTTTGGTCCCTTCCGGGATGCAAAATGAGACGTTTTTTGCCATTGGAGGTCCCTCACTGTACATGTCCTCCCGGAAAGTCACCGGACTGAAATCGGCGACATGCACTGTGAGAAAAAAAATTTTTCTTTGCACTGTGCAATTTCTTCCTTCTTGCACCGTGCAATAGCCTTTTTTGGGATGTCTTTCGCACCCTGACTTTTTTCGCACAGCGCAAACGCCATAATAAAACCTCTTTCCGAAAGAACTATTCCCATTTTCACAAAGTGCCTGGATTTTCCGTCGTGCCGCACTGTGCAAGAAAAAAGGTCAGCTGCACCCTGCATTGATTTTTCATAAGGAACGTACTTCTATGGGGTATGGAGTTATAGGTCGAGACATATATCAAAAAATCGTAAAATTTTTCTGATTCAGAATATGTAAGAGTTAGCTGCCTAATTTTGGTTTGTAAGGGTAAAAAAATTCTCAGAAATTTTCACGCAACACCATGCAAATGCCTTTTTTACAAAGTTTTCACAAATTCAAAAGTTTTGTTTTGAGCTAAAGTAAACCCTGGCATCTTGACAAGCCGTAAAATATCATGCCCTTTTTTATATCGAAACTACCAATTAAGTTGTAGTATCAATCCAATTTGATATTTTAAGACTTTTAAAGTTGCCAGGGTTTACTTTAGCTCAAAACAAAACTTTTGAATTGGTAAAAACTTGGTCAAAAAGGCATTTGCGTGGTGTTGCGAGAAAACTTTTGAGTTTTTTCACCCTTACAAACCAAAATTAGGCAGCTAATTTTTACATATTCTGAACCAGCAAAAAAAAATGCGATTTTTTTGATATATTTCTCGACCTGTAACTCCATACCCCATTGAAGTACTTTCATTGAAAAAAAATCTCAGTTTTGAACGAACAGAATCAAAATTTACTAATATTAACGTACCTGACCTCTCCCTGTCAAATTGATCATTTCCGGGATCTCCTCCGTTCCTTCCATGGGCAAATCATTGTCGTCTTGACAACTCTCTTCACTGGGCTCTATCACTTCTAAATACTCCTCTTCTTCCTCCACATTCTCTTTTTTTATTGGACAGAACTGATAGTCGTCCAGGTCTTCCATCATTTCTTCAGAGACGCTGTATCCAGAGGGCTGATTGAAGCTTGAACTTTCAATTGTCGTTGGCTCCGACATCCCAATTGCAATTGGTTCATAAAATCTGAAAAAGTTGAAAATAAAAAAAAATAAAAATTGGAAAAAATGTAGGTTTATCGAGCGGAAATTATGAAACTAGTCAATTCGCAAACTCGCAGGAGTAATTCCAGTGACTTGCACTGTGCGAAAAAAGGTCAGGGTGCGAACGTCAAACAAAAAAAGCCTACTGCACGGTGCAAAAAGCAAGAAATTGCACAGTGCGAAGAAAACCTTTGTTTTCGCACTGTGCACGCAGGGGTGGTCAGCGGGCCGGGCCGGCCCGGCCCGGGCCGGCCCGGCCCGGCCCAAACGGGCCGGCCGGGCTCAAAAATGGAAAATTACAAACGGGCCGGGCCCGTCACGGGCCGGGCCGGGCCGGGCCGCGGGCCTGGGGTTTTTCCGGCCCGGCCCGGCCCGTCTAAATTACAATGCCAAACCGTTGGCATTCATTGTTTTCGCGCCGGGAAAATTAATTGATGTTGTTATAGTTGCTGTTTCTCAAGTTCTAAAACGTTTGCAAGTCTATAGTTCCATTATAGAACCACAAAACTATCACATTGATCCTTTACTAGCTAGATCAACGCCTTTTTTGCCTATGTTTAGATCCCAAGCTTGGGCGCAGTTCGCAGAACCCTCTATAAACGGGCCTGCACGGGCCGGGCCGGGCCGGGCCAGGCCCGTCACGGGCCGGGCCGGGCCGGGCCTGGAAAAAGACTAGACGGGCCGGGCCGGGCCGGTGATTAGACGGGCCGGGCCGCGGGCCGAAAATCGGAAAAATAGGGTCCGCTGACCACCCCTGTGTGCACGTCGCACTGCAGGATGAGCCAAGTCTTTCTCCTTGGATGGTCAACTCTTCCTCCCAAAATTCTTTTTTGTCAATTTTCTTTTTTTTTGTTTCCATTTCGAGCAAGAGCCTTTCTGGATTGACGTGGCTATCTTTCGAATGCCAACGACTTTTAAAAATTTCTCCAACATACTTTACATTTTTTCCAGCAGGATTTATTCTTAGAACTTTTAAAGACAAAAACATCAAAATTAGTGATGAGATCTAGTCTTCCACGAACATTGAGAAAGCTACGCCAGCTGCGACATGACTCTGTCGATTGGGAGACGAAATTCATTTTCTGGCGCGTCTCGATCCGTGAGAACCAGCTCGTTTCCGTCCAAACGGAAGGCGTGCTTCGTTCGTTTACAAAACTCAGCGACTTTCAGCCACTCTTGAAGCGATAAACTCTTGGTTTCCCGCTGAAAAATTAATATCACAATAACTGACCTTAAGAAATAAATATTTGATTTTAGCCAAAAATTTGCTTACATTTGAGCCTTCTTCCCTCAAAACTTTCTCCGTCGTTGATGAGCCAGAAAATGAAGCGGTCTCCGCGGTTGTGGAAGAGTTTAGATTATTGATCGGGCTCGGCTCCTTCTCAGTTAACGGCATTGGAGTTTGAAGAGCGTTGTTAGCTGAAGTGTCATCATTTCTGGGCGCATTCGAGCCTCCCCCTTCGTTGATGACGCTGCTGGTGGGCTCCACAGCTTCGGCAGTTGCTAACTCAATCCTTCGACTGTTTTTAGTCACATTTCTCTTGCCGACAGCCGCAGAAGGAGCTGCTGAATCGATTTCGTCGTCTTCGGAGCTCAACTCCGGCACTGGATCTTTGTAATTGGCCACGGAAGATCGACAAGATCTTCTGGGACGTCCCAAACAACTTTTTGGCGTTTCCTTTTCTTTGGTGACGGAAGATCGACAAGATCTTCTGGGACGTCTCAACGAATTTTCAGACCTTTCCGACGCCACAGTTGTATCCATTTCAAATGAAAGAGCGGTAGATTCCAAGACATTAGAATTTTCGTGTTGACCAACAGATCGGTTAATTGTGTCCAATCTTCGGGAAAAAGACTCTGATGAGTGTGTTGACAGAATGTCAAAAACAAGGTTGTCAATCTGAAATGAAACACCATGAACGTCTACGTAAAGTATATACAGTGACGGGCCTGATCCAGCGGCAAAAAACGTACCATTTTACATCCGGGAAGTATCAAAAGATGTGACAAAATGCCTACCTCTCCAACAAAAAATACCGTTTTCAAACTCCCTCGCAAAAAGAGCGGGCGCGCTTTTAAAATCGGAGTTTTTTCACTTGGAGAGGGAGGTATTTTGCCACACTTTTTGATGCTTCCCGGATGCAAAATGGTACGTTTTTTGCCACCGGATTAGGTCCGCCACTCTACATATTTCATAAATTTTCTGTCCTCAATGCCATTTTTTTGGTATCTGCTGTGCCTTCAAATGCTCACAGAAGCCTGAGATATCAGTCTGTCGAGAAAATGAAAAGCGATTTGAATTTGCCGCGAAACAATTCATTTTCTCGCCGGCAATGAGATTCTCGATGCGATTGCATATGGGCAAAAAACAGCTGTGTCGGTTGATATCCAAAAGTTCCAACAGAATCAGTGTGTTTCCTTCTTTCTGTTGCCCGGAATTGTGGTCAAATTTCCTAACTAAAAAACTCCAGTATCGCAGCAATTTTTTATCATCTTGCCTGCAAATGTCCCAGACTGCCCGCAAAGTGGTTGCCGCCAGTGTCGCGACGCCTGTTTAGGATTTTTAAGAGGAGGATTTTAAAGTTTTAAAAAACCTGTTCTTATCAATAACAGGTTTTAAATCCGGTCTGTTTTCTACCTAATTCACCCGTTTTCCGAACGACCTGGAGTATTGGCTGGCTATGTAACAACATAGAGATGCTCAAATTTTGCACATTAACCCTTACCTCTTCCATTTTCCCCCTTTTCTTGCGTTGAGTTGCACGTAATCTGCAGCGATGCCAAGTCTTGCGAATGGCACTTAAATTTCCCGGTCCGGGATGAGCCTCTCTGATATCCTCTTCGATTCGCTTCCAAATCTCTCTCCCCAACTTGGCATTTTTAGTTCTTTGAGCTTCAAAGAGCTCAGGATGTTTCCCAACGGCGTTGCACACAATGAGCTTGAAGGAGTCGGAAGAGTTCAAGCTTGTGGTGGAAGTGTTCTGATTTGTTGTTGAGCTTCTTCGTGATCTCCGAGCATGCGAAAGATCCTCTTGATCGTTGGCGGTTGAGTTTTTGGGTGAGTCGCTGTTTCCGTTGGCGTTGATTCGCAAAGCCAACTTTTCATCCTGAAATTAGGCCGATAAGTTCGTAAAAATTTCATTTTGCACTGCTCTGTCTGCAAATTCACTTACCAAGCTCAGCTTCCTGCCAGAAGCAGCCTTTTGTCTGGCTCGTACCGTAACCCGATAAAGGATCTGATGAAGTTTTGGTCGCAGCCCTTTTTTACTGTAATTGGGAAACTTAGCCGAGAAGCGTTGTTCGACAAAGGTCCAGAACACCGAGTTTGTGCCCAACTTGTTGGATGTCTTCAAGTGGGAACAGGCAGCCGCTGCTTCCAAAACTGCGGTGGTCATTCTACCCTTTTTGATCTTTCCGCCGTGCTGGGCGGTTCGGCGGGCCGGCACTTGGGGCTGAAATATACATAGATATAGATTTAGCAGGTTAGGTGTGAGCAGCCCAGAGAAAACACTAGTCTGTCGAGAACAGAAAAAAACAGTCATACAGACTGTATAGGAACTTTTGGAACTGTTGCCCGCAAATGTCGGTTTCCCGCAAGTATTTCCTGCCCGCAAATGTCGGAAAACTTCCGAAGTATCGCAGTAATTTTTCCACCTCCACCTTGTTATCCTCAAGCGCCGGTTGCCCGCAAATGTCGGCTGTCCGCAAATGTCGGCAAATTTCCAAAATATCATAGTAATTTTTCCACCTCCACCCTGTTACTCTCACAATCAGGTGTCGATTGCCCGCAAATGTCGGCTGCCCGCAAAGTGGCTGCCCGCAAAAAATTTGCCCGCAAACTGGTTGCCCGCAAGTGTGCGCCCGCCCGGTCAAGCTCTTATGCTCCGGCTCTTAGCTCCCAGAGCCGGAGCCAAGGCCAAATTTGCAGCTCCGGCTCCGTGCAAAATTTAAAAAGGTCTCCGGCTCCTATGCAAAAATTTTTTTAAAAATATTTTTTCGAAAATAAAAGTTATTAGTGCCCTCTGGTCAAACATCCAACGTTTTTGCAGCCAAGTCGTACGCAACACATCCTTCCCAGTATTTTTCAAGCAAATTGGTTTAACAAGATCACGAAATTTTTACTTTTCTGAACGCTGAGAAGCCCGGCTCCGACTTTGGGCTCAGGAGCCGGAGCCGCACCCAAAATTTCCGGCTCCGGCTCTGGCTCGGAGCCAACAGCCGGCTCCGGAGCCGTGGCAATCTCTGGTTACCGGTCGAGACACACATCAAAAAAATCGCAAAATTTTTCTGATTCAGAATATAAGGATGGTGACATACAAATCAAATCGGGTTTCGTGGCCAGAAACCGTCATTTCTTGTCTGTTAGGCTTCCAGACAAGAAATGCGCAATTCTTGTCTGAGCAGAAAAAAAAAAAAAAAAATCTCCACGGGGAGAGAGGAAAAATTTACGCAATATTGCGCAACGTTACGCAATTTCAGACAAGAATTACGCATTTCTTGTCTAGAGCCCTAACGGACAAGAAATCGCGGTTTCTGGCCACGAAAACTGATTTGATTTGTATGTCACCATCCTTATATGTAAAAATTAGCTGCCCAATCTCGGTTTGCAAGCGCGAAAAACCCTCAGAACTTTTCTCGCAACACCACGCAAATACCCCATAGAAGTACTTTCCTTGTGAAAAGGATCGCGTCGCGTGAAGAAAGCGAAATGCACTGTGAAAAAATCCAGGCACTTTGTGATCTAACAGACCGTTTCGGACAAAAAAAATCTCAGTTTTGAACGAACAGAATCAAAATTTACTAATATTAACTTACCTGACCTCTCCCTGTCAAATTCATCATTTCCGGGATCTCCTCCGTTCCTTCCATGGGCAAATCATTGTCGTCTTGACAACTCTCTTCACTGGGCTCTATCACTTCTAAATACTCCTCTTCTTCCTCCACATTCTCTTTTTTTATTGGACAGAACTGATAGTCGTCCAGGTCTTCCATCATTTCTTGAAAGACGCAGGATCCAGAGTGCTGATTGAAACTTGAACTTTCAATTGTCGTTGAGTCCGACATCCCAGTTGCAATTGGTTCAAAAAATCTAAAAAGGTTGAAAATTTACGTCAGAATAATAGGCAAATTAGAAAAAAAAGAGAAAAAATGTAGGTTTATCGAACGGAAATTACGAAACTAGTCCATTCGCAAAGTCGCTGGAGTAATTCCCGTGACTTGCACTGTGCGAAAAAAGGTCAGGGTGCGAACGACACACAGAAAAAATTATTTGCACGGTGCAAAAAGCAAGAAATTGCACAGTGCAAAAAAATTCTTGTTTTTGCACAATGCATGAGGCCGAAAGAACCGACCTTCCGGACAGAACGCCAGGAAAAAATGGAAATCGACAAATTCTAGGGAAAATGTTGCCGACATTTTATACGCTGAAACCTTTACAAATAAATCAGAAAAGTGGTCTCAAAATTCTCATAAAACAACAATTTTACGTGTGAAACCGTAAAATCGGCTTTTTTGAGGTTTGCACGGTGCAACAATTCAATTGCACGGTGCGGAAAGCTGGCGACAAAAAAGTCTACGCACTTCTGAAATGACCTAGTAGTATGTATTTCCGAAAAAATTTGCCACAGAGCGCGAAAAGTAGTGTTCGGTAGAGGTTATAAGAAAAAAAAACAAAGGAACTGGATGCTTTGTGGATGGCGTCGAAGAGCGCGCTCTTTTTTGCTGTTGATTTGCAGCCGATCTGCCGCGCAATCGAACTTTTCAGATTAAAACATCTTTGTTTATGCTCCGCGTAACGAAATTATCCGGCCTTTGAAGTGGCACGGTAATCTCAACGTGCGATGAATTGCAAAATGAAAGGAACTAATATAGTTTGCAATGATGCGGTCAAAAGGCGTTTCTCTTTCGTGGCCTGAATAGTTACTATAAGCTTAACCAGGCATTTAAAAGGCTCAGAAAGCATTTTTAGAAAACAAAGTTCCATAGCATAAAAGCGGTGGATGAATTCAACAGATTGTACTTATCAGCACCTGTGAGTTGTCAATACAAAAATGATATCGTACTATTATTTACAATGTTAGATTACGGTGGTTGTCAAGAGGTTTGACCGTATTTTATTATGCAATTTTGATTGTTTGCTAATGTAATATTATGCATTTATCCTTTTCATGACATCTTTTTCAAAAGCTGAAAAATGTTGATTATTTCAATCTGGACTTAAATCATAAAACAATTTATAGATTTCCAAGCAAAAATACTCTTCAATCGGTTCGAAAATTCAAAAAATTTTAGAATTTAGAAGCCGAATTCGCAAAAAAAAATCGAATTTTCTTATTTTTTAAAATCTCAATTTCTCTCTGTCGGGAAAATAATGAGCACTCTGTCGCATCGAAAATCGCATCGCCGTCGAGAAAATGATTTGTGTCGCGGTAAAATCAAATTGCTTTTCACTTCAGCGACGCAATTGGCGAGAGCGACAGAGCGCTTACTATTTTCCCGACAGACTTATTATTTCTAGAAAAACATTTGCGTGTCTCTTAGGAACGTCTACTCCAAATTTATTCCAGATTTAGTTATTATTAGAATCTGAGCGACTCTCTGGAACGAAGTCGTCCTTCTGACCGGCCCTGCTCCAGAAATCGGCCCACAGAGAATCCTGCAGAGGGAGAGGGTCGAGAAGAAGGCAGGGGGAATTGCGCCGCGACCTCGTCGAAGTCTCTGAGAGAGCGGGGAAGGCTGAAAAGAAGGGCTCTCTGAAATGCGGTTTCACTCTCTTAGAGCGGGAAAACAGAGCGCTCTTTCTCTCCGTTTTCCTCCGTTCTGGTCCATTCAGAGACGAAAAGTATGGATTTTTTCTTCTCCTTTCTCTCTCTCTCTGAGAGAAGATAATAATTTGTGTTTAGGGCGGGTTAAGGATATTAGAACATAGACATTTTTAGTCATAAAAAATGAGGAAATTAAGGCTATTGCTTTGCTCTATGAGTAGAAAAAGAACCAAGAAAATTTAGAGGAATTTTGAAACTCTAATCTTAAAAAAGGGCCCACAAATTCTTCGGTTTTCACAAATCTATTATAGGTTATAATTTTCTTAAAAATAGTCTGGTGTAGTAGAAATTTTCGAAGGTGATTTTGTAATACTAGTCCATTCGCAAAGTCCCTGGAGCGATTTCGGCGCTATGCGCTGTGCAGAAAACAAGAGTTTACTTTGCACCGTGCAACAGTTTTTTTTGCGTTGTCTTGGCTTTTGCAGTACAATCGCCAAAAAATTATCAACCACAAAATCTTGATGTTTTCTGCAAAACGCGAGTAAAAAAATGTGGCATGTTTATTAAAAAATTCTAAAATTATTTGTGCTAACAAGGGAATTACCCCAAGTGCGACGCTCAGACATTGATGAAACCTCAATATCTGAAATTCTAGCTCGCGCTTTGCAGAAACAACCGAGGTTTTTAGATCGAAAGTGGGCGAAAATTTGACACTTTTTGCAGAATTTCGGCACGAAAAGTTTCATGTCTATTTCTACCATAGAGAGTAATGTTTCCACAAAAAATCAATTTTTTCCGCACGAAACTACCAAAGTTATGGCCAAAAAGTGTTTTCTCTCTGACCGCTCTGCACGTTTCGCGTACTCTCTCGGCGGCAAAGATCGTTCAGTATCTCGGCGGTGGCTGAAAAGCGCGAGCTAAAACTTTCAGGGATTGTTTTTTAGTTAATGTCCGACGTGTGTTCAGAATTTAAAGAAAATCGGAGTGTCGCACTTGGGGTACTTCCCTTGTAAGTTTGAGAGTACTGAAATATTCATTAATACAAAAATGTAACTTCCGCACTTTAGGAGGTTTTCAAAGAAGTTGTAGGGTGATCCAAATTTACGCAACCATGATCTATAATACATTGCGCAAACTCCGCCGTTAACGGTCCGCGGTTTGGTGCAGGGTAACAGTTGACCCAAATGGCCAAGGCGAGACATGACTCAGTTTTTCCTTTCTTTTTCTTATTTTTTCCATTTTTTGTTATTTATTTATCGTGTATTTGTCAATTTTTTGAATCTTTTTTCGTTTTTATTCAACTTTCTAAGACGTTATTTCAGTTTTTTTCATGGATAACAGTAACGGAGCGGTCGACTCGCTCCTAGCTCGTGTGAATTTGCTGCCAAGTTCGCACAGTTTCGAGGATCCAGACGACTATCAATTCACGTCGACGAATTTGAAGAAAGAAGAAGAGGAGGATGAAGTTCAATTCATAGAAGAAGTTCCCCAACAAGTGGCCAGGGAAGAGGTGCATCCGGCGTTGGACATGTTCATTGGGCAGAGTTTAGCCGGCACCTCCATGGAGGGCGCGCGTTCGGTGAGATTTTTGTGGATTCAAAGAATTTTTTATTTTTTTTGGTCTATGAAAAAACTTGGAGCAAAGTTTTTTTCTTGATCACATACTGCTTCTAATCTTTGGCCAAAACATTTTTAATTAGAAATTCGAGAAACTCTCAGAGCTGGACCTCCCGTAAAGTTCTCGGAATATCCCGGGTCTCTCTTCAAAGCATGAGCAGAAACTTTTTGAGATTTCTATGTGGCCTATGAGGAAATTAAGCTCAGAATTTGAAGAAAGTCTCAGCGTCGAGCCTTGGGAACTCCTAATTCCAAATTTGGTGTCAAAAAGTATCAATATTACCTAAAAAAGACTGCAGGACTTAAAAGAACGATTTTTTATACCTTTTCAAAAATGCCTTCTGACAAACATCCTCTCGATTCGAATCCAACAACAATTCTTTTTATACCTCGGTCAGACTTTGGATATCAAAAATTTGGGTAAGAAATGATTAAGGTCCGCAGCATAGATGTTTTTTTTTGAATTTTTACTGCATTATCTTCCAAGGCCAGAGATATGGGAGGTGATTTATAAATTTTGTTGTTCAATCCAGCCAAAAAACGTCAATTCAGTCCAATGTTGACTCTGGACTAAACTCCGGCGGATGTTGCCCATAGTTTCCGCTGAATTCGGCTTTTTTGAGTGAAATTTTATGCTTTCTTGGACGTAATCCGCCGAAATTTAGTCCAATCTTGATTTTGGACCAAATTTGCTGCTTTTGACTGGAATGAAAAACAAGATTTATATGTCACCTTCTATATATACGCCCTGTGAAGAAAATGCAGTAAAAATTCAAAAAAACATCTATGCTGCAGACCTTGATCACTTCAAACCCAAATTTGGTATCAAAAATTCTCACAGAGGCGTAAAAAGAATTGCTGTTGGATTCGAATCAAGAGGAGTTTTGTCAGAAGGCAATTTTGAAAAGGTATAAAAAATCGTTCTTTTCAAGTCCTGCAGTCTTTTTTATGTCCTATTGATACTTCTTGATACCAAATTTGGAATTAGAAGTTCCCAAGGCTCGACGCTGAGATTTTCTTCAAGTTCTGAGATTCTGAGCTTAATTTCCGCCTAGACCACATAGAAATCACATAAAGTTTCTGCTCATACTTTGCAGAGATACCCGGGATATTCCGAGATTTTTACAGGAAGTCGAGAGCTCGGAGAATTTCTCTAATTTCTCATTAAAAATGTTTTGGAATTTTGTTTGAAATTTTCTCGAAGTCCAATCACGATTTTTCAGCCCTCAAAAACCCGAGCTCTAACGGATATCGTCTGTGATATGGTGCTGCCGCACGCCAAACGACTTTGCAATCGGACGGTGAATAACAAGTACAAGGGACAGTTCTACGACCAGTTAGTCGCCGAGATTGAGGAAAAATACCCCCACTTTGCCAAAGACGGACTTCGGCAACGAGTGCAGGGCCTCTGGAATGTGACCCGATATGCGACTATGAAACGGTTCAAAGCCGGACACAAGCTGAATAAGGTCAGTTTTTAGATGACCTTATTGCTAGTTGAAGCTCTTGGGGTGGAACTGGGACGATTGGGAAAAGGAACGATTGGGGAAACGGACGGTTGGCGAAGCCGAAAAGTATAATTTTTCTTCGATGCAAGTGTCGAATTTAGGATAATCGAGGGTGCTGATTTTGAAAATGTAATTCATTTTTTTTGATAGTAACTTTTTTTCTTAAGTAGTACTGTAAAGTAGTAATTTGATTTTTTCTTCACGAATACTCGATTTGGGGGTTTCGATGGTGCTGCAAAATCTTATTCATAATCAGAAAAAATGAATAAGATTTTCGACATCAGCACCATCGAAAATCCCGAAACCGAGTATTTCTGAAAAAATTTTAAGAAATTACTACTTTACAGTACTACTTAAGGAAAAAAGTTACTATCAAAAAAATGAATGTCATTTTTAAAATACGCACCCTCGATTATCCTAATTTCGACACTTGCATCGAAAAAAATAAAACTTTTTGGTTTCCCCAATCCAGGGTCGAAGCTGACCGAAAATTCTTCCCTGAAAAGCAATCAAAAATCGATCTGAATGCTTTATTTTCAATAAATTTTCATTTATTTTCAATTTTCAGCGTGACAAACAAATCCTTACCGCCCTTGGAATGGACCCTTCTAAGCCCTACAAGTCTTCGGCCAAGTCCATTCCTCCTTCACTGGCCAAACTGGTTTGTCAAGAAGCGGCCCCATTCGTCGAGGACTTGAGAAAGGAGAAAACCGGAGTGTGGGAACGAATTGAGAGAGAATTGTTGGCCAAGAACCCCGAGCTCAGATCAGTGAAGAATTTGAAAAGCAAAAGTCAAAATTGTTTTCGGAGGATCCAAAAAACTGCCGTCCAAAAGCAGGCCAGAGGGCAGGCATTGACTCCGGTAAGTCGCAAATTGTTTTTTTTTTGAATTGCGCTGTGCGAAGAAAAGAGTTTTTTTTTTTTATTTTTTGCACCGTGCAGTATGGATTTGGGCGAATTTGCTGTCAGCACAGTGCTGCCGGAATTATTTTTTATTTTGAAACCGCAGTGAAATCAAAATCTTCATTTATTTTCTCTCCGCACAGTGCAAAAAAAATTTTTTTTTACTGCACGGTGCAATCAAAATTTTGGCTTAATTTTCCTTCCGCACAGTGCAGTAAGAATTTAGATTTTTTACATCGCACTGTGCAATCAAGATTTTAATGTAACTTTCCCTCCGCACAGTGCAGAAAAAAATTTGTTTTTACTGCACGGTGCAATCAAAATTTTGGCTTAATTTTCCTTCCGCACAGTGCAGTAAGAATTTAGATTTTTTACATCGCACTGTGCAATCAAAATTTTGGCCTAATTTTCTTTCCGCACGGTGCAAAAACTCTTTTTGAACTGCACAGTGCAATCGAAACTTTAATTTATTTTCCTTCCGCACAGTGCAGTGAGAATTTTGATTTTTTCCATCGCACTGTGCAATCAAGATTTTAACCTAATTACCTAATTTTCCTTCCGCATGGTCCAAAAAACTTTTTTTTGTACTGCACAGTGCAATCAAAGTTTTGGCCTGATTATCTGTCCGCACAGTGCGGTGAGAATTATAATTTTTTTTCATCGCACAGTGCAATCAAAATTTTCATTTATTTTTCTTTCCGCACAGTGCAAAAAAGCATTTTTTATCGCACTGTGCAGTCAGATTTTTAACCTAATTTTCCTTCCGCACAGTGCGGTGAGAATTTTGATTTTTTACATTGCACAGTGCAATCAAAATATTTATTTATTTTTCTTTCGCACAGTGCAAAAAAACATTTTTTATCGCACTGTGCAGTCAGATTTTTAGCCTAATTTTCCGTCCGCACAGTGCATCTACATTTTTTGCCAATCTAAAACCGCGGCTTTTCAGAACGAAAACATCGCAATTCGATCACTGAGTGAGAGAGAAATGGCCTCCATAGCTGGAAATTCAAATCAAGACATGGAAATGGAGAGTGATGAGTTCGACGAGTCGGATGTGGAAGAGGAACAGAGCAACGTTGATTCTAATGCAGAAAACGTCGATCATTCCGAGGTTCCTCAAGTCACTGGGGATACTACGGATCCCGTTGCCGAAATAATGGATTTGATTTCGCAGAAGGAACCGACCTCGAAAAATTCTGTAAGCGAGAGATTTTTTCGATTTAAAATTGGAATTTAATTGGCCAGAGACTTCTTTACCTACTTGACCGGTCTTGTTGGCCAATTTTTACCGGTCGTTTTCATAATTTTTTTAAAAAAAAATTTGACCAAAAATTTTCTATTTTTAGCCGATTTCCCAAGCCGAAATTGATGAACTTGTCTGCCACGCCATCGGACGACACCCCGAACTATTCGAATGCCAACGAAACAAGGATAATTCGGCATCCAACAAGGTGTGGAACAAAATTAAAGCCGATCTGTGGCATCATCCCCACTTTCGGGAGAGACCCGACCAGCTGAAGAAGATCTCGTGTGTGTGGACCAAGTGCAAGGAGCGCGCGTTGTATCGGCGATGGTCGGGCAAACTGGAGGAGGTGCGAATTTTTAGGTTGTAAATTAGAAAGAAAAATAAAAAAAAATAGTCGGAAAATCAAAAATTTTGGAGGAAAACTTTCTGATCAACCCAAAAATGTCGACCAAGACTAGTAAATTCGAAAAGAATTTTCTACTTGGATTTCCCGGAGATTTAGCCTGCAATTTGCAGAAATCGCCAATATTTTTTTGGGCCGTAAATTTGACAAAAAGGTCGAAAGAGCGATTTTTTCTCGATTTCCCACCTACAGTGGCGGACTTGATCCAGTGGCAAAAAAATGTTCCATTTTGCATCCGGGAAGTATCAAAAAATATGGCAAAATGCCTCCCTCTCCAAGTGAAAAACTCAGATTTCAAGACGTCGCAAGCTTTTCCTCACAAGAAGAGCTGTCGCTATTTTGAAATTGGAGTTTTTTTCACTTGGAGAGGGAGGTATTTTGCTGCGTTTTTGGTAATTTCCAGATGCGAAATGACACGTTTTTTTTGCCGCTGGATCAGGTCCGCCACTGTAGGTGGGAAATTGAGAAAAAATTCGCTCTTTCGGCCTGTTCGTCAAGCCAAAAAAAATATTGGCGATTTTGCAAGTTGCGGGCTACAGTGGGAGACCTGATGCAGTGGCAAAAAACGTACCATTTTGCATCCTGGAAGTATCAAAGATGTGGCAAAATACCTCCGTCTCCAAGTGAAAAAACTCGGATGTCAAAAGCGTGCTGCTCATTTTAAGGGCCCTTCAAAACGAAGTTTTTACACTTGGAGAGGGAAGCATTTTGCCACATTTTTTGATACTTCTCGGATGCAAAATGGCATGTTTTTTGTCACTGGATCAGGTCCGCCACTGTAAATTTCAGGGAAATCCAAGTAGAAAATTCTTTTCGAAAGTTTTTACCAATTTTGATCGAATTTTCTGCGTTGATAAAAGAACTTTCCTCCTCCAAAAATTTTGATCTTCCGAACGTTTCAAATTTTGCTTTTTTTCAGTTAGATTATTTTGTTCTGGACATGATCTCCAAGAACCCCACCGACGGTGTCGCCAAGAGATTGCAAACCCCACCGGGTAGATATTGTCCTGCCCCTCCGACAACGTCTTCGTCGACCCCTCGAAAAGTCAGGAAAACGAATAAACACCCCCCAGGCACCGTTTCAGCCTTTCTGACGGATTATCGAGCCGCAAGTGCTTCGCGAAACTCTGGCTTTCCATCAACTCAAAAAACTGTAGCCCAAATCCCGCCGGCCAAAAGACCGATCTCAACGGGCGCTACAGCGCACATTTCAACGTCTTCGGCGGATCTTGTGGGAAATCTGGTTGGACTGATTAACACGTCCGAAAATCGTCCAAATAATGGCCTCAACACTTCTTCAAATGTTAATGACAAAGTGTTGCCCCCAGAATCTCTGAACTCTCCGTCTTCGTCCAACAGAATGGAGGGATCGGGCGTTGAAAAGCCTTCAACTCCGTCGACGAATCCGAGTGGGTCCAGAGAAACTAGTGCTCATGTAAGTTACGGTGAATTTGAAACCTTTATCGGCGTTCTTATAGTTCAGAAATTTGCTTTTTGAAATGCTTGGCCAAAATTTTATGCACAGTGCGGATTGAAAAATAGGCCAAAATTTTGATTGCACAGTGTGGAACGAAAAATAGGCCAAAATTTTGATTGCACAGTGCGGAATGAAAAATAAGCTAAAATTTGACTGCACAGTGCGGAATGAAAAATAGGCCAAATTTTTGACTGCACTGTGCGGAATGAAAAATAGGCCAAAATTTTGATTGCACAGTGCGGAACGAAAACTAGGCCAAAATTTTGGTTGCACAGTGCAGAATGAAAAATAAGCTAAAAATTTGACTGCACTGTGCGGAATGAAAAATAGACTAAAATTTCGATTGCACAGTGCGGAATGAAAAATAATCCGGCAAAAAATTTAGCACAACTTTTAGCCCCTAAATTTCTGTTCTTTCAGCCCGAATCCAAGACTCTTCCCCTTCCCGAATGGCTCAAAGTGGTCGACTTCTGTAAGAGGACCAACCACAAATTCCGCCTGGAAGCGAATTGCATCATTTTCACGGACCGCGATGCCCCCGACAATGAGCTGAGATTACCTCTAGACAGAGTGTCTTCTTTATAATGAAATTGATCATAATTGCCTTATGTTGTTTAATACTAATAAATTTTTTTTTAAATTTGACTTAAAATTATTAATCAACCATAATTATAGACCACTGAAAATGTAGTCTACAAATTTAAACAATACTGGCCACGCGATCCAATGGGAGCCGAATCTCGTAGCCTGGCGCGGCGGGATCACTGAAGATTACGGCGTCGCCGTCGAAACTGAAGACCTGGTTGGTTCGGCGACAATAATCCACCACATTGAGCCATTGGCGAAGCGGGAGAGTCTTGTTTGGAGGCTGGAAAGAACAGATTAGAAGTTGTTTTTACGCAAACAAAGACAAAAATCACTCCAGCGATTTTGCGAACGGACCAGTAACAGACAAGTTCAGAGGTCTCAAGAGTCAATCCCAGGCCAAAAATAACCTCCTTATGGTGTTTCAAGAAATGTGGAGGAAGGTAACCACCGATTTCTCATCGAAGAAGCTTCAAGTTTTGCACACTGGGAGTGGAAACGTTACAATTTCATTCTCAAAAATTTCATAGCGACAGAATGCAAAATCAGTTCAGAGAGCCGTTCGAAAATGGCAAATTTTTCGCCAAAATCGGCAATTTTTCAGTTGGAAATGACCGGAGATTCTCTCTGCTGAACTATTTTGTATTCAGCCACTATGAAACTTTTGAGAATGAAATTATACAGGGATGGACCTGATCCAGTGGCAAAAAACGTACAATTTTGCATCCAGGAAGTATCAAAAATGTGGCAAAATGCTTCCCTCTCCAAGTGAAAAAACTTCGATTTGAAGGGCTCCCTCTCAAAAAGAATGGGCGCGCTTTTGAAATCGGGGGTTTTTTCACTTGGAGAGAGAGGGAAGCATTTTCCCACATTTTTGATACTTCCCGGATGCAAAATGGTACGTTTTTTGCCACTGGATCGGGTCCCCCACTGTACCGCTTCCACTTCCAGTGTGTAAAATCTCAAGCTTCTCAGCTGAGAAATCGGCGATTACTTTCCTTCACATTTCTTGAAACAATCATAAGGAGGTTATTTTTAGTCTGGAATTGACTATTGAGACCTCTGAACTTGTCTGTTACTAGTCCATTTGCAATGTTGCTGGAGTGATTTTCACGCCTTGAGCTTGTAAAAAATTCTTATAAACTTACTCTTCCTGGATCGTTTGGAACATTTTGCGACGAATTTCCAGAAACATTCAAGGTTGCAGGGAGCCTATTGACGTTTGACGGTGTCAATTGAAACCTCACTCCACCGGGTCTCAGCGTATTTGTCCTAGATTGCACGATTGGCTGTCCAGTCATTCCGCTTTTACTTCTGTCGTAAATTCCAATAGAGCTGTCGATTTCTTGCTCGAAACTGGTCGATGGTGTACTTGTCTCCAAATTTATCGGCCTTCGGACAACTCGAATCGACTTGAAAGGCGAGGGCTCAATTTCTTGTGTCTGCGCATCATAGGTAACATTGTTTGACGTTGTGTTCTGCACAATCCGGCGTTTAGCAGTTTCAATAACGACAAAAGGCCCTGATGCAACTTTAGCTGGCTTCCTGATCACTCGAATGGTCCTGGGTCTGACTTCTTGCTTCTTTTTGGGATTATCACCATCGGAGTCGATTTCGATCACCTCTTGGGTCGAATTATTGGATGGATTAGGTGTGGTGTTACTTGTAGTTGGGCGCTCCTCACTGTCAGCCCTCTCGGAGAGCCCACAAAGGGAAGGCAGAGGCATTTCTGGTTTGGCCAAGCTTGGATGAAGACTTATTAATGTAGTTACAATTTCCTCTCCCTAAACAAAAATATCAGTTAAAAAATAAATTCAACCCTCTGTAGAGCAAATCACAAGAGAATAAAGTGTAATTTTTTTCTTTTGTTAGACAATAGGCTACAGTGGGGACCTAATCCAGTGGCAAAAAAAGTGTCATTTTGCATCCGGGAAGTATCAAATGTGGCAAAATGCTTCCCCATCCAAGCGAAAAAACTCCGTTTTCAAATGCCGCTCTTTTTGTGAGGGAACGGCCGCCTTTCAAAACGGTGTTTTTTACTTGGAGGGGGAGCTGTTTTGCTACATTTTTTGGTACTTCCCGGATGCAAAATGGTACGTTTTTAGTCTTTTCACTTGGATAGGGAAGCATTTTGCAATATTTTTATGCTTCCCGGATACTAAATGGTACGTTTTTTACCGCTGGATCAGGTCCGTCACTGCATCTACCTTTCGGTACTCAAATTTCTTAAAGATCTGTATTTTTGGAATAAAAAAAATCCCTACTCTGTTCAATTTTTCGCCTTTTTGCATCTTTGTCTCTGCAAACGTGGCAATGTCTTTGAAAACATTCCAAAGCGCCCATTTGTTGCGCGGATGATGTTTTTCCACATGGTCTTCAATGAAGCTCCAAGCTACGTAGGCCCCCAAGTCCTCGTCCAGCTGGTCGGTCGGATCCCGTCCTTGAAAATAGGACGAAATCGCAGCACAGACCGCAGCCTTGCTATGCGACACGCTTACATGGCCCACAAAGGTTGATCTTATCGCTGCTTCATTCAGGGCGTCTATGATTCGTAGATCACGCTAAAAAGAGGATTTTTAGGATAAAAAATGTCGGCCTACCTCATTCATCTTCTTCCCGATTCGTTCCTTTTTTCTCGCCAAGGTCTTGCAACGTCTCCAGGAATCGCGGATTCGACTACGAAGTGTGGGGCCCACCAAATGCGGGAATTTTTCGGCGATATCGGCTTCCACTTTTTCATGGCAAATATATTGATTGAATCCGCTGTGCAAGTGGGTTATCATCAGTTCCGACACAATGTCGGGAAATTTGGTTTCGGAGATGAGAGACTGAAATTCAATTTAAGAAGTTTAGCTTGCGCTATGCAGAAGCTGAGGAGATATAAAGGTGATCAGAGATGTTCGGAATTTTGGCAATGAAAGTTTCGTACCTAGTTCTACTGTGATGTTTCCAGAAAAAACCATCTTTTCCACGTGAAATTGGCAAAGGAAACGTTATGGCCAAGGGTTGTCTTACTCTCCGTCCGCTCTCCGCGCTTCGCATACTCTCTCGGCGGCACGGAAATAAATACAAAGGTGGTCAGTTCTCGACTTTTATTTTCGCTTCTGCGTCGAATTTCAGTGCAAAAATGGACTGAGATTGACCTTGAAAAAACAGCGCAGATCGAAAATTTAGATGTGCACTGACTTTTCAAAATCAATCTCAACCCATTTTTGCACCGAAATTCACCAGCAAAAATAAAAGTCGAGAACTTCTGTGGCCACCTTTATATTCATTTCTGTGCCGCCGAGAGAGTATGCGAAGCGCAGAGAGCGGATAGAGAGTAAAACAACCTATGGCCATAACGTTGCCATTGCCAATTCAGCGTGGAAAACACGGTTTTTTCTGGAAACATCACAGTGGAAATAGGCATGAAACTTTTCTTGCCAAAATTCCGAACTTCTCTGATCACCCTTACATCTCCCGCTCCTTCTTCACACCGCAAGCTCAAACTTGAACAATTTGAACCGCAAATTTTTCAAAATCTGAGCGTCGCACTTGAAACACTTCCTTTGAAGATTCAAAAAAAAATCCAACTTACACTCTTCCCAGAATTCCTGGATCCGGACGAGGAACGTTCGTTTTCCATCTCCTCGTAACAATGCAGGTCCGACTCCTCCAATGCTTCTTGTTTTATTTCCGTCGCAAATCGGTACCCCATATAGTCGTCATCCTGACTTGATTGGCCTATGATCTCGTGCGCTTGGAATTGCTTTGATGTGCTGGGGAGAGCGGTTTCATCCTCTGGCATCCTACAAAAAGTATTGCTGAATTAAAAAAAAATACATCGCAGTAAAGAATAACGTCGAAAACCGCAAAATCCCTCAAAGCCCAACGATTTCAAGGGCACCAAACAAGGTTTATTAGCTAAAAAGAACTTTATAAAAAGAAAGGTCCCCTTTGAAAGCTATTTTTGGATTTTTTAAATCCCAAATTATTTTTTCTGAAGACCACATCAAATACAAGTCAAAAAACTGTACAGAAATAAAATTCTTCAATGGAAAATAACAAATATAACAAGCCAAACTCGTTGAAAAAGAGCCGAGAAAACGTTTTCCTTCCATTTTTTTGCATTTCGATTGGAAAAAGCGAACAAAAAAGCGCGCTTTATCTTTTTCGTGGCATTATTTTCTTGAGCTCCCCTTCTTTATAAAGAAGTTACGTTCACTCGTAACAGACAAGGTTCTTGCGAGATAGAAGCAAGAAAAATAAGGAATAAATCGACCGTCAGAAAATAATTTTTCGGAATTTGGACGGAATGTCCCAAAACTATTTAATGTTGCGGAATGTCAATTTTTTATTGGATTTTTTGGGGAAGTGCCTGTGCCCCAACGTGTGTGCAAACTTCAAAGAAAATCTGAGCGCCGCACTGGTCAAGCAAATAACACTTTTAGCACGATTTTTATTAAAAATCCAAAAAAAAAACAAAATTTTCAAAAACCTCAAATGTCAAAGCCAACTCGATCCAACGGAAGTCGGAATTCGTTGTCAGGTGCATCTCTGTCCGTAAAGATGATTTGATTCCCATCCACTCGGTATTTTAGATTCATTCGTTTGGAGAAATCGACCACTTTGAACCAGTCGGAGAGGGAGAGAAGTCGGTTGTCTGGTTGGGGCTGAAAAGTTGTGTTTACATCACCTCCAGTTGTTGGAAAAAATAAAAGTTGTAATAGAAGGCCGTAAGATTCCCAACGTGACTTACAGTGCTGCTAGTTTCCCTCGAATTTGCCGTGGTGGGTCTGGATTCGGTCTCGGCGTTTGGCGATCTAGCCAGTTCGATTGCCGAGCTCATCCTTCTTTTTCGGTTGATTACAGACGGTTCTGGAAGTTGTTTTAATTCCGTTGAGCCTCCGGGGACTCGAAGCCCCATTTTCTTCCTCTTCAGCGTCCTCTCTACATCTATCTTTTCCGGTGGTGACGACTCTATTCGGCAAGCTCTCATTGGTCTTCTTGAACTCGATGGAGATGGCTCTTCATCCTTCGTGGATGAGGATGGGACGTCCCTATGTTCTTCCTCAGTTTTGGGCTCTCCAACGTCCTTCGATTTGGTCGATTGTGGGGTCGTTGTAGCACCGCGCTTCTTCAACGCAGCTAGTACGAATTTGTCGATCTAAAATTTTATGTAATGAGTTGTATTCGGTCGTCCAGAAAGTTGTAAATACACAGTTTTGTAGAGGAGAAAAAGCTGTATCAAATAAATATATACCCTTTGCCAAACAACAAACAATCCTTGTAAAACAAAGCAATGAAAAAACGAACGAACTTTCTGGACAAAGTTGTCAAAGTTTGCGCTTACCTTATCCATTCTGTTCGTTCCCTCTCTTTCCAACGCCCTTCGTCTGTGATTTGTCCAAACTCTCCGTACCTCGTGCAAACTTTTCCCACGGACATTGGGAAGTTCCGCATGAACTGTTGCGGTCACATCCAGCCACATCCCCGGCAGTCGTGGGTCGCTTCTCTGCTTTTGAGTCGACAACAAAAGCGGATGGCCAACAACGGCCTTGCAAACGGACATTTCAAATTCTTCCCGGGTCTCGTCGTCCAGTTCTTCCTCTTCGCTGTCGGACGTCACTTCATCGTCATTGCTCTCAGCCAATATGGCAATTTGTTCGTTCTGAAAAGTTGTAGTCAAAGTTTCATTTGCTGAAATATCTTGTGAATTTTCGGTAATTAGACCTTGCACGTCAATCCAGCGGATTTCCTGATCCGTTTCGAAACTTCGTATCGTTTTCATTGATTTAAAAGAGAGACGAAATGTCATGAAATTATCGGCACCTTTTTTCGCCCGAAATAATTGCTTTTTCTCGAAAAGGAAGAAGAAAGACAAGAAAATGCTTTTTATCGGATAGTGACATTTCGTTTTGAACGAATCGCCAAAAAGGGGCGGGAAATTTTTTCTTCTTTTTGGATTGGCGTGCGCAGTCAAAGTTTCATTTGCTAAAATACGTTTCGTTATTTCTTATGTAACTCTCTGCCCCTTACCGGATTCAATTTGCATCTACGTCGCTGCTTCTTTCTGGCACTTGCTCTAACCTGCCAAAAAGTGTTTTGAATAGTTCTCCGCAAGTTCGGCTCGGCTTTCAACTTCGGGTATTTTGCCGCCAACTCGTCGGCAATTGAATTCCATAACCTGGAACTAGTTGGATCTCGGCCGACTTTCATCTGGCGAGCGAACGGTTTCACGGCTTGGCAAACAACGTCGTGAAGGACGAATTCAGGCGCTCTTGGGGCAGAGGAAGTTGAAGAAGAGGGTTGGTCATGGCTTGATTTGGATGGATGCTTTGTTGATCCAGCGGGGCGGCCAATGGCATTAAGAATTTGACGGTCTCGCTGAAAATGATTAGTTTCTTTGGGTAAGTGCTCCTGCTTCCAAATTTATCAATATCCGGTCTGACCCTAACTTGCATGCAATTCCTGTAAATCTTGCAGGCGTGAGTGGGATTTTGAACGATTTTTGCAGGCCTAGAGACTGATAAAAAGACGTCATTCTTCCTCGCGAGGTCACAAGGGCTTGCCGAAAAACTGGAGTTTACTGGCTGTTATACTAATTTTCTTTGCTCTGACACCTGAATATATCGGTGGATATCAAGGCCTGGTCTGCCTCACCGATATATTCAAGCTGGCTCTGAAGGGCTGACTACAGTGGAGACCATGATCCAGTGGCAAAAAACGTACCATTTTGCATCCGGGAAGTATCAAAAATATTGCAAAATACCTCCCTTTCCAAGTGAAAGAACTCCGATTTCATAAGCGCACCCTTCAAAACGAAGCTTTTCATTTCGAGAGGGAGGCATTTTGCTACAATTTTTGATACTTCCCGGATGCAAAATGGTACATTTTTGCCACTGGATGAGGTCTGTCACTCTATTCAAACTGATTTTGAAGGGTTAGCTAGGTCCCAAAAGGACATGCTTGCATTTAAAATTGGAACGAAATGAGTCAAACTCTACGGGTAAATACTTCCATTGTAATCCCAAAGACAAATGAAAATTTTACTCACCTCGGTCAGAAGGCGCTTCTCATTGACTTTCTTCTCCGCCGCCAATCGCATTCGGCTCCAGTAACTCCGGATGAGCTTCCGCAGTCGGCGGCCTCGGATTCTCGGACACTTTGGTTGCATTTCCATCTGTATTTTATCGTAATATTGCGTCTTTGTCGCGGGTTCGCTCAAATATTTGGCATACGGAAGGATATGCTCGAGCAGTGTTTCCTTGAAATTATGAGGCACCGCGGCTTCTGAATATTCCCCGTCGTCATAGCTTGCGTCCGAATCTTCCACGATCTCGACTTCTGTTGCAGCTTCGGGGATCTCCTCATCTGGCTCTTGTTTCACCATTTTCGGTGTGAATTGGTAATCATCGTCATCGAAAATACAATGCGAAGAAGTTTGGGGACGAGACATTTGTAAAAGAGCTAAAATCGGTGTGGATTTAGTCGCGGTGAATATTCGTTATCACGTTCTTTATACACGCGGTAATGAGACGATTTTCATATTGGTGGTTCCAAAAAAGGCTTTGCCACAAGATCAGGTTGGCTTGTACAGTGACAGACCTGATCCAGCGGCAAAAAACGGACCATTTTGCATCCGGGAAATATCAAAAATGTGGCAAAATGCTTCACTTTCCAAGTGAAAAACCTTCTTTTTTGAAGAGCCATCACAAAAAGAGCGGGCCACGGCATTCCGAATTATTTTTGCCGCCGACCGGCGTCCGAAAAAATGAAAAAATGAAATTTGCCTCTAACATTTTTGCCAATACCTCGCTAGCCTCGAAGTGTAACGCGAATCTGAAAATTGCGTTTACAAGCTGACACATTTGTCCTTCAGAGTATATTAATTTTGTAATGATACTTATTATGTACGACAAGGAAACCATTGCTGAAAAATGGCAAATTTCAACATTCAACGCCAGAAAAATGTACTTTCTAAGTGCCAGATCACAAAATTATGGGCTTCATTGTATACAGCATCTTGAATACTATAAGATATAACAATTTCAGGCATTTTCTGGCCCGATTCGCAGAGTTATAGCCGAAAAACTGCAATTTTGGCCTTCTTATTGAGCTATCTGCACTTTAAAAGTACAGGGTGTTTCAAGAAATTTGGAACAAATAATTTGCTTATATCTTTTTCTTCTTTGCAGCTATCAACGAATTTCTTTTTGCTTCTAAAAATTGACAGCGTGCGTTTTTAGAATCTCAAAAAAAATTTTTTTCGTCGGCGGAGGGCCCATTTCTCGGCGGAGAAAATTAGGGCCTTTTTTAAAAATCACAGCGTATTACGTGGCGGAAACGCCGTTGCAACGGCTGAAATCAAGTTTACGTTACACCTCCGTCGATTTTACGGTACGCATTTTTTTGTTTTCGATTTTACGCGCACCGCGGAGGCGCGGCGGAGACTTCAGATTTCGGCGGACGTTGTTTTGGGCCTTCGGCTGTTGCAATTCATGTTGGAAAAGAGGTTGGGGTGATTTTTTGTTGTCATCCGATGCACAGATGGCAAAAATTTCGTGCTTTTTTCCCCGGCGGAGGATTCGGCGGAGGCTTTATCAAAGGGTCAAAGCAGTCTTACGAGTCCGGGAAAAATCTCAGCTACAAGAATCCATCAGAGCAGCATTGTCTTTCAAAGATTTTTGATTTTTTTGGTCCGGCGGACAAATCGGCGGAGTTTTGTTTTTACCCTTTGATAAAGCCTCCGCCGACTCCTCCGCCGGGGATAAAAAGCACGAAATTTTTACCAGCTGTGCATCGGATGACAACAAAAAATCACCCCAACCTCTTTTCCAACATGAATTGCAAAAGCCAAAGGCCCAAAACAACGTCCACCGAAATCTGAGGTCTCCGCCGCGCATCCGCGAAAGTGCGTAAAATCGAAAACGCAAAAAAAGCATACCGTAAAATCGATGGAGGTATTACGTAAACTTGATTTCAGCCGTTGCAACGGCGTTTCCGCCACGTAATACGCTGTGATTTTAAAAAAAGGCCCTAATTTTCTCCGCCGAGAAATGGGCCCTCCGCCGACGAAAAAAATTTTTTTTAGAGATTCTAAAAACGCACGCTGTCAATTTTTAGAAGCTAAAAGAAATTCGTTGATAGCTGCAAAGAACACAAAGATATAAGCAAATCATTTGTTCCAAATTTCTTGAAACACCCTGTACATACAAAAAACCCTCATACAAGGGTCACATATTGTAACCGTTATAACTTTTTTCGGAGGAGTCCCGGAAAGCTGAGATTTTGCATAGTGGTCCATCACAACCTGGGCAACAAAAATCATAGAGAGGGTTTTTTGTATGTACTTTTAAAGTTCAGATAGCTCAATAAGAAGGCCAAATTACAGAGCGAATCGGGCCAGAAAATGCCTGAAATTGTTGTATTTTATAGTATTCAAGATGCTGTATACAATGAAGCCCATAATTTTGTGATCTGGCACTTAGAAAGTACATTTTTCTGGCATTGAATGTTGAAATTTGCCATTTTTCAGCAATGGTTTCCTTGTCGTACGTAATAAGTATCATTACAAAATTAATATATTCTGAAGGGCAAATGTGTCAGCTTGTAAACACAATTTTCAGATTCGCGCTACACTTCGAGGCTAGCGAGATATTGGCAAAAATGTAAGGAGAAAATGTCATTTTTTCATTTTTTCGGACGCCGGTCGGCGTAGAGGTGGCAATCGGGCCGGGCCGGGCCGATTTTTGCGGCCCGGCCCGCGGGCCGAAGTGACCAGGCCGGCCCAGGGCTTTTTCGAATTTGCTCAGGCCCGGCCCGGCCCGGCCCGATGAAAGCACAGGCCGGCCCGGCCCGGTTTGGCCCGCTAATACAGAAAAGTTGGATAAAAGTCTTTGCACTTTCTACTGGAAGTTCTTATGCTTTCCAGAAGGTTTTTACGTGTGTCTGCGTGATATTAAAAAGTCTAGTCGGGTGACTGGAACATCCGTACAGGTAGCTAAAATCTAGCCAAAAAGTTGGATTGTGTTGAATTTTTTAATCCTATAGGAAGTTAGCTATATAAAAATATGGACGTTATAAGGCTACATGGTTAACCAAAAACTGTTCAAACACTTTCATTTACATCAAGGAATCAAAATTAGAGTGAAATTTTTAAATTTATCATAAAAAAAATCGAAGATTTTTGCCCGACCCTTGCATATTTGGGTGGGATTTTACATATACATAATAAGTTACATACACATATAAATAGTTTTAAAAAGTAGTAAAACAGCGTATATAAGAGCGAAGGAATAAGAATTTTTTCTCCAGCTCGAGAATGTTTGCTGGATTCGCTACCAATTTCAAAAAGTAGCGGAAACCTCAAATTGCAACCTCCAAAAAAGGCGTCGGAAGCAAATCGGCCATTTTGCGACGGCGCAAAATTGGGAGGTAGCAAATCGGCCATTTTGCGACGGCGCAAAATTGGGAGGTAGCAAATCCATGGATTTGCGACGTCCCAAAATAAGCCCCGCCCCCTCAGTTTTTCAGCCATCACGTTTTGGCTTTTTTTGACGAAAAAACACCGTTTAGGGTGAAAATTTTAGCTTACAAATCGTACATTTACGATACTATGAAAGAAAAAAGGTCCCTCGACTCGTTAAAACATTTATTGTAAAATGACGTACATTTTATGAAGAATATATTTTATTTTTTCCACGATTTTGTCCAAATATGGCCGGAGAGTCAATGGATGGGGCTGAAGAAAATTTGTTTTTCCACAATATTGTCCAGATATGGCCCAAGAGTCAATGACTGGGGTTGCAGAACATGGTCGGATATGGATCTTCCTGGAAATCAAAAGCAATATAACATTTCCTTCTCATTTTTAGAAAAATAGACCTTCATACATACCTCATATAGTGCATGCGTCTTCCGAGCATCCGAGCATCGAAATGGAGATAGTCTTGTGCAAAAATACGGCCGATGGGAGTGAAATTGATTCCAGGTAACAATTTCAATCTCTAAATTACCTAAAAACAAAGTAATAATACTTAAATCAAGTCTTACTTCCTTTGGCAACTACCACAGGGCTTTTCCTTTGTCCGATTTCAATGTTTCTGCCTCCTGAAAAAGATTTATTAGACATGAATAATGTAGAAAAAATTAGAAATCTCGTCCAAAATCAAAAAATAATAAAAAAAAACAGCTTACCATGGGTATGGCGATCACCTTGAGTCGGGTTGTCTTCTAATTCAGCTTCTCTGCATCTATTTGGCCAATTCAACAAAAGGAAACAAAAAAAGGAAAAAGAATTTGCGAATGTTTTCGCGGCCCGTGAAGACGAAATGCCACGCAGTCCGAGAACGGATTTTAGGTCCAATTTTCGTGGGATTTCTGTTCATTCGATCCGAATTGAAGGCAACCGAGGGCCGAATTCCGGGTTGGACAATTACGTAAGCTTTATTCTTGGTATGTTATTGTTTTAGTTGAATAAAAAGGATTTCGTCGGTCTTATCAAAAGAGTCTGCCGTCTTTTGGACAGTCGCACCTTTTGAAAGAGCTGTTGAAGCCGATTGCTCCGAAGGCCGAATTTCAATGTTTGGACGTAGTTTATGTAAGCTTTGCTCTTTGTTATTATTTTTTTTAGTAATAACGACAAGGATCAGGATGTTTTGGTTTTATCAATAAGATATGGTCCGAGCGGGATGCGTCAAATTGGAGATGTGTCTTGGTCAAACTTGAAAAGAATGGAGTGTGGGAAGATCGATGCATCGACGAGTCGTTTGGAAAAGTCGTTGAAGGCAGAATTGTCCATTACACCCGGCGCAGAAGGCCATATGTTGGAGACCACATGAGGATAGTTATCTAATATGTGCACGAATTGGTTTCTGTCAAGAATTGGGTCTACATCGTGGGTCTACAAGATAGTAAGAAACATTTTTATTTTATTTTCTTGCTTTAGGAGAAGGAGGACTGGCCCCATCAAACGCCGCGGCTACGTCTGTCTTAGCCGTTCAACCCCGCACAGCAGGTCCCAGGAACTCCCCAGCAGATCCAGGACCTCCCCAGCAGTTCCAGGGCCATGTCTCCACACGGACTTGCAGTATTGTCCAGAACACCGTGATTTCAATGCCATATCCTCTGTTGTTTCATCCCTGGCCATATCATACTTATTAGAGATGTTGTTAGTCTTTCTATTGGCCATATGTTAAGCTTTATTATTGTTTACCTGTGTGTTCCCAAGAGGCTGTATTTTTATTTATTTAGGTGTGAATTAGTAGCAAGAATTATTTTATACCGATTTTCATGTAAAATATCTCTGTTTCCTCTCTTACGCCTTGTTATTTTTTGGATTATTAGTTTTAATAAATTGTTATTGTCAAGAAAAATGTATGGGAGTATGAATAGTGCTTTATACACTCGAAATATATTCAAAACGGCAAACCGGAGCGCTAGAAAAAAAAATTTCCGCCGGAGTGGGCGGAGTCAATTTGGGAGGTCGCAAATCCACGGATTTGCTACCTCCCAATTCCGCGCCGTCGCAAAAACGCCGTTTTGCTACCTTCTCTCTCGCGGAGGAAGCGAAAACGCCGATTCGCGACCGATTTTTTTCGGAGGTCGCGAAAAGAAGGATTCGCTACCGAGACCACGTCGCAAATAGATCATTTCGCTACTTTTCGAAATTGGTAGCGAATCCAGCAAACATTCTCGAGCTCGAGAAAAAATTCTTATTCCTTCGCTCTTATATGTCAAAAAAGGTTTAATCTAATTTCCATCCATTCTACAAAGAATTTGTGCTTTATTTTGCTGGTTTAGCATTAAAAATTTTTTACTTATTTACCTTCCGGGCCGGGCCGGGCCGAAAGTGTCGGCCCGGCTCGCGGGCCGAAGCGGTCAGGCCGGCCCAGGGCTTTTTCAAATCTGCTCAGGCCCGGCCCGGCCCAATCACCGGGCCCGGCCGGGCCGGGCCGGCCCAGCCCGATTGCCACCTCTAGGTCGGCGGCAAAAATAATTCGGGATGTTGTACGCGCGCGTTTATGAAATCGGAGTTTTATCACTTGGAGGTATTTTGCTGCGTTTATGATGCTTCCTGGATGCAAAAATGTTACGTTTTTTGCCGCTGGATCAGGTCCGCCGCTGCAGAGCAAAATCCAAACGATAAATTACGGTTAAACCCCTGTAAAAATTTCGCGTCCCGACTTTTCTGGTCGACGACAGTTCGGGTCAACACAAAGTCGATACGGGGTTGTAGGACAGGTGGATACCCAAAAAAAGGTTGTAGGAAGCGCCTACGAGGCCTGGCAAAGCCGTTGGATGCTCGGAGGAGACTTGGCGGAGGCTTATAATGTGACATCTAATTTTAGCTCTTTCTAACCCTAGTTTTCTAATTTCTGAGCTATTATAACATATAGAAGACTAAAAATTTTCTAAAAAACAAAGATCCGTAACTTTTATCTAGGTGTTATTGATGTGAGTACATGTAAATACCTCAGAATAGGTGATAAGCTATCCTAGGACCGTCTCAATCTTATTATTTCTATTAACTAAGCCTTCTCCGTGCCTTTCCCATGTTCCCAATGCTTAGGTAAATATAGAATAAAAAATAAGCGGCGCAAAGATCATAATCCCGTCAATTTTTCGCGGATTTCGCGCCTCAAAATTGAAGTGAGCTCGCAAAAAAAGTGCATGTCGGGAAGTCGCGGCGACAAAACCGGAAAATTTAATGACGACGGAAATCGTAGGGACTTTATGGTGTGAGTAGTACAATAAAAATAAATGAAAAGTGTCCAACAAATCGTTTATATTCTTACAAACCTCACGAAACACGCAAAAAACACCTAAAAGAACTAAAATAAATAAAAAAGCGTGTGGAAAAAGCCGCTCTTTTCTAAAGAATGGGAAAAAAAACAGGAAGCGGAATCTTTTTCAAAAAAGCGAATGAAGCCCAGAAGGATCAGAAAAGCCGGCGCCTTTCTTGTTTTTGGACGTCCGTCAAAAGATTGAGGTAGATGGAAATTTTCTTCTGGAATTTCAATCGTTTTTATCTTAAAAACGTTTCCTAAAAGTTATTTTCGCGTCCCGACTTTTCGGGTCGACGACAGTTCGGGTCAACACAAACTCGATCGATACGGGGTTGTAGGGCAGGCGGATAGTCTAAAAAAGATTGTAGGAAGTGAATACGAGGTCTGGAAAAGCCGCTGGATGGTCGGCGGAGACTTGGCGAAGGCTCGGCGGAGACTTTGCGAAGGCTTGTATTATAATATGTCAACTGTTTCTAATTTTAGTTATTAGATTATAATTAATACTACTACTGACGTTAGTTGTCTTTACCCTGAGTTATTGTAACACACAAAGAACCAAAATTTTCGGCCAAAAACGAAGATCCGTATCTTTTATATAGAAATTATTGACATTTATATTGCTTACATGTAAAATACCTCAAAATAGGTGATAAGCCATCCTAGGACCCAATCAATCTTATTATTTCTACTAACTAAGCTTTCTCCTAGTCTCCCCAATGCATACAACGACAAACAGACACGGTTTTCAATGGCGTTAGAGATCGCTTCTTCGCTTCTTGAAGCGTTTTTTTTGGTTTCCAAAACGATTATGATTGGCCGAAAACAATATTGCTCCTCTTTTGAATTAATAGTGTAAAAAAAGACCAATCTTCCGATAAAAGCTTTTTATTTTTTAGCGTGGAATATTCTGATTCTTCTATTCTGGCCCTGCGAAAAACTGGTCGTAAAAAGAAAGTGTTGCCCTTTCGGAAACATTTGTTGCAGATTTCGCAAGAACGTTTTCTTTCTCTCTGTAAGTTCATTTCAAAGGCGGGCACACATTATCGTTCACCCGAACTGTTGCTGACCCGAAAAGTCGTACCACCATTATTTTTTGAGGTATTCCATCAGAAAAGGTACTGAAATTGACTATATGGAAATGTAAAATAAATGATTTATTAAAACAAAAAGAGTAAACAAAATGTGAAATTTTTTAATTTTTTCAAAATTCAATCCTTTCAATAGGAACTCGAAATACATATTTGGGGTCAACCTTGTCGACGAATACGACCTCATCCTTCTCCACGTGGAAAATTCGATTATTTTGCTCGCAATATTCCATCAACTTGAACCATTTTGGCAGAGGAAAGCAGTTGGTTTGAGCCTGTAAAGATACTGCATTATATTTCGTCACAGCGTCGTTTAATGGACATTTATATTGCTTACATCATCACCGACTTCTTCATTGGATGCTGCGGGGCTGTTTTGCTGCGACTGATTATTTGCAACGTCTGAGTGTGAGGTTGATGGTGTATTTGGGGACAAGGTTTCTTCAGAGTCTTCATTCTCACTTGTAGTGTCGCTGTTGTTCTCCGAGTCGGTATTTCTTTGAGAAACTTGGGTCTCAGCGCGTGCAGTAGTCGATCTTGCGGCTCTACCAGACGGCTTTTGTTGTCTTTCACTTTGCCGTTTGGAAATCAGGGCAAACGGTTTCTTGTGATGCTAAAATACGAAAGTTAGGTAAACTTTTGGCTTGATTACGAATAAAAGATAACTACCGATGTTGATGCCAGAAAGCATACCGATGTTGATGGTCGATTTTGTGGCATTTGCGAGCTGTGATCCGAATTTGAAACAGACACGGAACTCCTCAACGATGAACATTCGCTCAGCTCACTGCAAACGGAGGTCCTCGATGACTCGGGAAACTTATAGTCAACAGCTTGAAGAACTCGACGATCTTGCTAAAAAATTCAAAATGTATTTTACAATCTACTCCTTCTACAGCCGTTTTTGAATCCAAGAAACTTTACTCATTCCTTACCTCATCGATGTGCCTTCGAAGTTTGACTTTGGTTATGGTGTTGAAGACCTTTCTCCGCCACAACTCTTGAACTTTTCTTGGGAAGTCGGGCGTCACCAACCGGGGATGTTTCGCTTTGATTTCGTATGCAATCATACGATAGTAGCGAAATCGCTCCGGATTCTCTGGCTTCAGAAACTGCGCGTACGGCAATGCGTGTTCGCAGACAATATCCGTCAGCGGATCTTTTCGGCGTCCCTGAAGATTGAAAATTTATGAGTTTTCATAAGGGTATGATGGGAAATTTGCCGTAAATTTTTCAGATACCCTCTGTCTATTCCATACAAAAAAATGAAGATCCGTAACTCTTATCTAGATATTTTTGATGTGAGTACTTGTAAAATACCTCAAAATAGGCGATACGCTAGAACTCGATCAATCTTATTATTTCTACTAACTAAGCCTTCTCCTAGCCTCCGCCGTGCATACAACCACGAACCGAGGCGATCCGAACTGTCTTTGACCCGAAAAGTCGTAGCGCCGAAAAATTTTTTTGTTAATTGCAAGGACTTACCCGTCGTTTATTTGTGATTTCCTCTTCAATCGAAGTCGACTCAATATCTTCCTCAACGGCCGATTCAATTCCTTTTTGGGTGGCTTCTTCTAGGACAGCAAGTCGAGGAGGCTCTTCGGGTATCTCTTCTTCAATTTGTTCCTCTTTGACTGCCCTGAATCGATAACCTTCCAGATCTGGATGTGGCGGGTCATAATTTGAGCCACCTTGGATGTTGCAGAAGATCAATGGCACATACGAATCGTTGGCTGAACACCTTGAATTGTCACGTCCTGGCCTGGACATTGTTCAGAATCGTCGAAAGGAGCAAGAGAAGACGTAGGGCTGCCAATAAATTAAGATAAAGATCTGCGTAAAATTCGATTATGTAATCCAAAAATTATAAATAATAATAATGTCTAAAAGTATCTTCGTCATTTCGCGAACAACTTTGGGAGATGAGGTTTAAAACGCAAAAGCCTTCAAATGCAAAACGTCAAATGCAGAGTGCGGAAAATTTGCCACAAAAAGTCTACGTACTTTATGGAACGACTACTACAAGTGTTGCTCTATCTTGGAAATATTATCCGTGAAATATGTGAGCCAAGTTTCATCAAATTACTTTGCCGACGTTTTCCGACAAAAATTACGATTTTTCTCCCGTAATCTACGTAGCATGTAATCTAGGAGCACTTTTTTTTTGATTTGTTTGCACTTATAGTGCAAAAATAAAAAACCATCCGTGGTCGAAGGATTCTTTGTGTCATGTCGGATATGCATGCCAAACTTGAAGCTTCGCCGATGCTCCGGAGTCGCTGAATATCCGTTTCAATACGAAACCTTAGAGTACTATTTCTGTTGTTTGAAGTCGCTTTGTCTGCTCCAAGATACCTTTTGATCAAAAATATGTTGTCTATGTACACTTCCGACATGCCACACAGAATCCTTCGACCGCGGATGGTTTTTTATTTTTGCACTAAAAGTGCAAACAAATCAAAAAAAAAAGTGCAAAAAATGGCCAAAATCAGGGGTTTTTTCACTCTAACTTGACTCAAACCCCCAAAAAATCTTGAAATTTTTATATGTTGTAGCTCAAAAAATCGCATGAAATGCCTGTAGAACCTTATGGTAAGTATTCAAGCCACCCATGCGTCTGGAAACCTCTAGATATCAGTTCCTGAAAGTTTTAGCTTCCGCTTTGCAAGCGCCGCCGAGATATTGAACCACTTTTGCCGCCGAGAGAGTACGCTAAACGCGGAGTGCGGTCAGAGAGAAAAACGCCTTTTGGCCATAACTTCGCTAGTTTCGCGCGGAAAAAATTGGGTTTTTGTGGAAACATTAGCCTTTACGGTAGAAATCGAACGGTAGAAACTTTTTGAACCAAAATGCGGCAATAAGTGTTAAATTTTTGCCGACTTTCGATCTAAAAATCCCGGTTGTTTCTGCAAAGCGCAAGCTAGGAGTCTCGCATATATTTTAGAAAAAAATATTCTAAACTTGAGCCAAGTTTCATCAAAATCTGAGCGTCGCACTTGGGGTACTTCCTTTGTAAGCAAATATTGGCTGATTTCAAAACATGCCCGCAGAATCTCCGTGGTTTTTCAAGCTGCCCGCAAGTGTGGGCCTGCTTTGAAATGAACTTACAGAGAGGAGGAAAACGTTTTCTTGAAATTTGGAAAAAATGATTCCGAAAGAGCAACACTTTCTTTTTGCGATCAGTTTTGCGCAGGGCCATAATGGAAGAGAATCGGAATATTTATAAAAAAATCAAAAAATCTTTGTTGTTTTCGGAGGCTTGGCCTTTTTTGTTACACTATGAAAAGAGGTGCAATATTGTTTTCGGCCAAGCAAAATCATAACCGTTTTGGAAAAGGAGAAAAAACACTTCAAGAAGCTAAGAAGCGATCTCTAACGCCATTGAAAACCTACCCTTTTGCCCGTCAAACTACCCGATTATAAAAGAGGTTTTTGGCAACCGCAATACGCGTCAGATAAGTCATTACCATCAAGCCTTTGCGTGGCAAGCCGCGGGGGACCGAGAAATAAATTCGTTTTGGAAGGACTTTGTTGTTGCGATTTTCGACTTTTATGACGTCGGTAAATGGATCGTTACCGATAGGTTTTTGCGGTAAGGAGTTGAGATTGCCACGGGCAAAATTTCGGCTCCGGCTCACGTGCAAATGTTTTTGTAATAAACCCTTTCGGGACGAGTCGGCACGTACTGGTAAAAATGAAAGAGGGTACCCTACTCAGTGACGTCATAATAGTGGTTCAGCCCATCAAAGCGTTATTTGGGACTTACGACAAAAAATGTCCTAAAAGGTACCCCTAATTGACATATAAGTTTTGAAATTTTTGTGACAAGCTATACAGATTGGAAACCACCACTAAATTAAAGTCGAGGAGTTTTAGTATTGTTACATCCAAGAACTGTCCAAATTGGAGCACTATAGGATTTGTTATCGATTTTTCGAAATTGAATTTTTAATTTTGGTCAATTTTCGACCTAAAATCAGCCTGACATTCGAAAAATATTTTTCCAAAAATAAAGATTCTTAGTGTCAGAGATGACACACCAAACGTTTTTGAGCCAAGTCGTACGACACAAATACTAAAGTATTTTTCAAGTACTTGGTTGAACCAAGATCACGAAATTTTTACTTTTCTGAACGCTGAGAAGCCTGGCCTGGACTTTGGGCTCGGGAGCCGGAGCTAAGAGCCGGTTCCGGAGCCGTGGCAATCTCTGGTGAATTTTTTAGTCAACACTTTTTTTGAACAAAGATAGCATAGCTCGACCTGGCGAAATGTCAATTTACGGTACGGTTAGCGTCTTCTGTTGCTGTACTCGTTGCACAACCTCTCATGGTGTTTGTTTCGGAAAGCCAGTAAAGTCACGGGTGAGGAGAGAGCTTGCAGATCGTATAAAAGATTAGAGGTTGCTCAAATTCCATAAGATAACTGATGAGAGATGAGATTTGTTTCTCGAGGTTTCGGCGGAGAATCTGGTTAATCAATCTACTGTAGGCTAGTCTTCAAGCATAAGCCGTTATCCAAACGGCAAGAATTTTCAAAAAAGAAGATTAAAAAAGCTGAATTGATAAAAGCTAGGTGAAAAGAGCATTTGTTGCGAGAAAAGTTCTGAGATGTTTTTTCGCCCTTACAAATCAAAATTGGGCAGGTAACTCTTACATGTTCTGAATTGTAAAAATTTTGCGGTTTTTTTGATATGTGATTTGACCTGTAACTCCATACCCCATACGAGTAGTTTCCTTCTCACAGGGGAAGTACTCCAAGTGCGACGCTCAGATTCTCTTTAACTTTGCACACACGTCGGGTAAGGACTAAATATCACTTCCTGAAAGTTTTAGCTTGCGCTTTGCGCACACCGCCGAGATATCGAACGATTTTTGCCGCCGAGAGAGCACGCTAAACGTAGAGAGCGGTCAGAGGGAAAACCGCTTTTTGGCTATAACTTTGGCAGTTTCGTGCGGAAAAACTTGATTTTTTTGTAGAAACATGCCTATTTCAACTTTACGATTGAAATAACCATGAAACTTTTCGTGCCGAAATTCGGCAAAAAGTCCTAAATTTTGGCCGACTTTCGATCTAAAAAACTCGGTTGTTTCTGCAAATATCTTAGAAAAAATTATTCTAAATTTGTGCCAAGTTTCATCAAAATCTGAGCGTCGCACTTGGAGTACTTCCCCTGTGAAATATTGCTTGATTTTTCAAGAGAGTATCAATAATTTATTGAAAAGCGCATCGTTACGCCTCGTTCATAACTTCCCCAAACCATCATACAGTCTTCGTAGAGTCCTGCCCATAACTAACGACCCAAAAGTCGTCATATGTCGGCCATCGTGGAAGTTGGCCACACCATTCTCATTCACCAAGCAACATGAGTTTGTCGCATTGGAACAAAAGCTTTCTTGATACAAATTTGCCTTCAGGCATTTTGGACAATTCAAATTGTCAACCCGTTTGTAGACTTCCGAATTCTGCTGTTCATTCTGCGAAAACGGATAGTTGAAACGGTCCAAGTTCAGCCCTCGACGAACCGCGTTCTGGATGACTTGAAAGGGCTTCGGGGTGTTGATGTCTCCTCGGTTCAGAATCACAAGTTCTCTGGCAATTTTGTTCAGTTCAGAGTAGAAATTTTGAATCACTTGTTGATAGTGGTCGTTTCTGGAGAACTTATGGATGCGCAGCTCGTTCCAGCTGAAAGAAAGGAAGGCAAGTGGCGGTAAAGAAATTAAAATTTGTTCGGCACAGTTATACATGGCTCGTCGGCCGGCCCTCGGGATGTTATAGGCATGTAAATGGATAAATATGTGCTATCATCATGTAAATGGATAAACATAGCTATCTAAAAACAAAAATACCTTTAAAAAAAAGAAATTGTGTCTTGTCATTTCGTTTATTTTCATTATCAAACCCAATTTTCGCTTTGAGACTCTGGATTTTAACAATTCCGGGCCGGCCCGGCCGACCTGAAATCCGGCCGCGGCCCGGGCCGGGAGCCATGCCTAGGCACAGTCAAAACCTCTGTACCAGGAATCGTAATTTTAAGGCAAGAACGCCAAGTGCGACGCACGTCAAACTGAGGAGTCCGGTGACCGGAATAGACTCTTCGCTATCGGTTTTTTACACTTCGTCTTCATTTCACAGAGAAGTCTTGATTTCATTGATTTCACAGAGAAGTCAGAGAAAAAGACGCGCAAAAACGTACTCTCTCGCCCCGAAAAATCCCCATTTCTTCCCCGACTAAATGTTTTTTCGGGTCTTTTTTGGCGGATTGCCAACATATTCACCGGACCGTTTGAGCCCATCTCAGTTTGATGTGCGACGCCCAGATTTTGATGAAACTTGGCACAAGTTTAGAATATTTTTTTCTAAAGTATATGTGTGAATCCTAGCTCACGCTTTCCAGAAACCACGGAGATTTTTAAGTCGAAAATCGGCAAAAATGTGAGACTTTTTGCGGAATTTTAGCACGAAAAGTTTCATGGTTATTTCTACCGTCAAAGGTAATGTCTATGCCAAAAATTATTTTTTTCAGCCAGAAACTAGCAAAGTTATGGCCAAAAATTGTTTTTCTCCGCTCTCCACGTTTAGCGTACTCTCTCGGCGGCAAAGATGGTCCAATATCTCGGTGGCGCTTGCAAAGCGCGAGTTAAAACTTTCAGGAATTGACAGTCAGTCTATGCTCGAAGTGTGGGCAAAATTTAAAAAAAATCTGAGCCTCGCATTTGAGCTACCTTCCTCTTAGATAGCAGCTTTTTTGTTTTAGAATTTGCCACAAAAAAGACTTGACCTTCAATGGAGATGCTCAGAGCAATAATGTACATACGAGTGCACCGTGATCACAATGTCGATTGGTCTTTGCCACTGTCTCAGAATGGGGACAACATCGTCCGAAAAGCCTTGGCATTTCGGCTTCTGTTTCACAAACAGTTCGGGCAAGAATGGCATGCAGAGGTGTGTTCCGAACATAGTAAAACGGCTGTACACGTCCTTCATTGACGAGGTTACCGAGTATTCGAAGTCCTTGGCCAAACTGTTGCCAACAAGGACAATTTCTTTTGTTCCGGTCCCCTGAAAAGCTTCGTCAAACCACTGGGCAACGGTCCAATACTAAAAATACAAGGAAGAAATTCAAAACGGAGTTTTTTAGTCGGAGAGGGAGGCATTTTGCCACATTTTTTGACACTTCCCGGATGCAAAATGATACGTTTTTTGCCACTGGCTCAGGTCCCTCACTGTACCTACCCGAGCATGACAAAACTCCTCAATATTCTCCATCCCAAACTTGTAATCCGTATCCAAACTCTTTGTTTTATTCCGGCAACTAGCAAACCTGGTCCATTGAAAGTCTCGTATCTGGTTGTTTACATCCACCACCTCTTCGGCGGTCAGATTTTTCATCCTCTCGGGATGTTCGTACAAGTCCACCGCCACTTTTTCCACATCCACTCCTCTGCTATATTGAGTTCGCACCTCGGAGCTGGCCAGGATTTCCATCGTAACCGTAGTGGTGAATGCAATCCGATAGAGGATAATGAGGAGTAGAAGAAGAGTTCGCCAGTTCGAAAGGCATGTAGACAACGTTTTGAACATGTTTTCCACAAAATACGCAGTGACAACGGTAATGGAAATAAGGAGAAAGCCATCTGAGAAATAGAGTTTGGATTAGGTCCGAAGAGGGAAGAGGGCACCATACTTTTTCGAAGAGGGCACCTGGGAGAACAGGGCACGTCAAACTGAGATTCCGGTGAATAGGTTGGCAATCCGCCAAAAAAGACCCGAAAAAACTTTAGTCGGAGAAGAAATGGGGGTTTTTTGGAGCGAGAGAGTACGTTTTTGCGCGTCTTTTTCTCTGAATCTCTGTGAAATCAAGACGAAGTGTAAAAAACTGATAGCGAAGTGCCTATTCGGGCCACCGGACTCCTCAGTTTGACGTGCAGGGCCCTTGATCAAGAAGTGACATGATAAGAGGGAGGGGGGCAAGGCGGGTTGTGCTCATTCTTTTAATAAATCCGCGCCTTGATCCCCTCATACCACATCGTTTTTTTTGGCACACAAATAAGATTGTTATGTCTAAATTTGACGGTAACAGTTTTTATGTCTTCTTAAACGGCCCGCCCATCTTCTAATTGATATTTAGTCCATACCCGACGTGGGTGCAAAATTTAAAGAAAATCTTAGCGTCGCACTTGCGGTACTTCCCCTGTAAGGTCACTGGGATTGGGGTCCCGTAGGTATCCGTAGGTCAGCAGGTCTGACTTGCGGACTGGTGTGGTAGCGAGCTCTTTGGCCCTCTCCCCTCCCTAATAAGATTATTCTGAAACAATCCGCCTTGTTCTCCCTTTACCATATCATATCACTTTTTCCTCAAGGTTCCCTCATCGGCCAGTTGGCATTTTCGAAAAAGTTAGGTGCCCTTTTCGCAGGTGCATTCTTCGGCCAAAAATACATTATTGGTCGCCCACCTTTAGACAAGATTGCATCTCGGCCCTCGGAGTATTTGTATACGATCAGCAGCGGCCAATGGATCAAATACATTGCGTATGAGACGTCGCCCAGACGCACTAAAAGCTCGCTGGATAAGATGGAAGTCCCGTCAAGGCAGAGGAAGAGTGTTGACGTGAATGTGGCCAGGATTCGTTTGTATTCGTGGCCTCGAATGGGGTTGGTTGACAATTGAAAGCATAGCAAGAAGACAAAAATATTGGGTAGAATATAAGTCGTGAATAGTGTTTGTGTGGGCTTTGGGTTTCTCGATCTTTGTGTAGCAACCTATTACGATTTTCATAAAGTGAATAGACAAGCTTGTAGGTACAGGGTCTTTCAAGAAACGTGAAGGAAAATCGGAGGCTATAACTTCCGGCGGAGGCGGCGCAGAGACTTCATTTTTGGAATATGTATTTTCAAGTGACATTAGTCTTTGCCTATGAAGTAACAAGATGTTAAAGTAAAAATTGAGGTCTCTACGGCCTTTTGAAGAAGAGGTCTTTTACCTCGAAAACCAGGGGTTTTCGCTTGAAAGTGATGGAGAAATTTTTGGGTTTTTCGGTTGAAAATCACCGAGAAATGTCCAATGAAATGAATCAATGAAAACTGAGCCCGACCCTTTTCGGCTTGCGGCGACATTTTATACGATGAAACCTTTACACATTCAACTTTTTCGCGTTTTACAGAAAAATGCCCCATGGGTTTTTTTCAGGAAACATTCTGGGAAGAAGCTAGCGTCACTGCAGATTCCGAAAAATCACATTTGGACCAAAATGGTTGATTCCGGCGGAAGATATACTCAATTTTGGGCTAAAAATGTCGAAATTTAAAATTCAATTTCCAAAAGTCGATAACTAATCCTGTAATGGTCCGATTTGGACAGTTCTTGAATGTAACAATAGTGGGACTCTTAGACTTTAGCTTAGGGGTTTTTTCTAATTTACAGGTGGTTTGAAGGTACTTTTTAGGACATTTTTTGTCATAAGCCCCAAATAACGCTTCGATGGGCTGGAACACTATAATATTATTACTCACTACAGTACCCTCTTTCATTTCTGCATGGAGGTGCCGACTCGTCCGGAAAGGGTTAAAAAGTTTGCTTTGACGCCCATTACACCCTTTTCATTATTTTTTTAAAACTTCAAAATGGATCGGTTTTTTATGACGTTCTGACAATTCTTGAAAGACCCTGTAAATAAACGAAAAGCAGGAAAATTAAAGTCATGCTCGAACAACCAACACAGGATCGGCCCTTACATTGTTTTTTGAGTGTTCTAGAAGCCTTGTCTCAGAGCTCAGACTGAAAATTGCGGTTTTCTCCACGAACCGACCCGGTTCGCTCCTTAGTCGATACAAACATGCCCCAATTCCGCAAACGAACTGCCACACACGACAAAAGAAGGCCATATGTGAGAGATTGACGTCTGAAATTCATATATCCAATTGTTTCATATAAGAGCTCTGTAGCGGACTTTGCTGAAAAGCCAAAACCTTCCCTACAATTTGTCTCCAAAGAAAGTTGCGCCAGCAGACAGGCCGCCGAAACAACCGCCAAAAACCCATGTCCATAGTTGCCGTTGCTCTTGGTCAGTTCGCGGTAAATCCAAAAAATCAACGGCACCACAGCGTAGAATTGAATCTCCACCGATAATGACCAAGTGTGCAGGAACAGAGGGTATTGATTAGACACGTCAAAGTAGCCGCTCTTCGGCAGATTCATATAATTGGAGACAAAAAACATGGAGGATCGTGCCTCCATGGCGACCTGCGAATGCTCAAATACCGGCATCACGTGGAAAGCGGCCACTAAAGTCGCTATGATGATGCACAAGTACAGTGGTAGGATTCGTCGTATTCGGCGGACGTAGAAGTCGGCTGAGGTGTGGAGATTGATCGGTTTGCCGTGCAGGACCTGGCACATCAAGTAGCCGGAGATCACAAAGAATCTAAAGATGGGTTGAGCGTTTTCAGGCTGTCGGGAAAATAATGAGCGCTCTGCCGCTGCGCCAATCGTGTCGATGAAGTGAAAAGAAATTTGACTTTGTCGCGACACGATTTATTTTCTCAGCGGCGATGCGATTTTCGATGCGACCGAGTGCTCATTATTTTCCCGACACACCGATATGAAGCTCTCATGCTTAAAATCCATTACGGTAAATCGTACATACAAGGCACATTTTAAAGGGAGAAAGTAAGCATTTATAACTTATGCATCCCTGGGTGTCCAGAAAATGTGTCATGATGACACTGGCTTAAACTGCAGCAGTGGTATAAAAACTGGTTTTATATGCGCAGGGGTCTTCTCTAGAATGCCCAAAAAAAATTTTTTGATCCGCAGCTTTTACAATGTGCAATATGGATGACGGATTTTCTGGATTTTTTCGGTGACAATTTTTATAACGTCCGAAGATCTTGACGTGCTCTAGTGAGCACTCCTAGCCATATACAGCCTTTTTTTATACCACTGGCAAATTTTCAACCGGTGTCATCGTGACACATTTTCTGGACACATGGTGATTTACAAGTTATTCAACTTGTACGTAAAGCCAAGTATTCTCAACCGGTCGATCTCTTCTTCACTTACATATCAACTCCCAAAAACCCATTCGCAAAAAGCTTCGGCCAGATGTGGAAGAGCAGCACGAACAACACAGCCAGGCATCGTAGGCCTTGTATGTCGAGCAGGAGCTTTGACATTTTCCTACAATGCAACCCGCCTCGGAGATCCGGCTGATCTTCGCTTTGTGGGCGCACTGGAACGCCACCATGTTTACATCGAGTCAGAGAGCAACCGAAACTTGTTTCCTTTTTCCTGACAAATCAGTTAAAAAACGGGAACCTTGAAACTGTTGACAAGGTCACTGCCGCCACGTGGTGCGTTCGGAATCAGCATTTGTTTTGCGAACAAGTTGTGCCTTAGCCGAAAAAAGACTGTTTGGCCGTGTCTTTCCCAGTCTCTTATGGGAAGGGTGATTTTTCGTTGACACGCGGCGGTCTACGGTAGGAATGGGTGAGAAAATTTTATTCCAAATTTTGCAAAAAAAAGTGTTGTATTTTTGCAGACTTTATGCTTTAAAAATCCTGGCAGTTTTTGTCCAGAAACCTCACATGAGTCTGAGAAAAGATTGGTCTTAATTTGGGCCAAGACTTATCCAAATGTGAGCGTCGCAATTTCTGTTGTTTGGACTGCCATGATTTTTCCTGCTTCTTACGTATAATATTATCAAAAAAAACCTCGACGCTACAAATTTTCGGGTCAGCTACAGTATTGGGTTAACGATGCTATGGATCGCATCGGTTCGTCTTTTGTATGCATGGGAGAGGCAAATAGAAGGCTTAGTTAGTAGAAATAATAAGATTAATTGGGCCCTAGGATAGCTTACCACCTATTTTGAGGTATTTATTTTACATGTACTCACATCAATATACATATAATATCTAATAGATAATTCTAGATAAGAGTTACTGATCTTCATTTTTTGCCGCAAATTTTGGCCTTTTATATGTTACAGTAACTCAGGGTAAAGAAAACTAAGGTTAGTAAGTTATATATTGGCTAAAGTTAGAAAAAGTGGACATATTGCAAGTCTTCGCCAATTCTCCACCAAGTCTTCGCCAAGTTTCCGACGACCAGCCAACGGCATTTCCTGGCCTCACAGGCCCTTTCTACAGCCGTTTTTTTGGTATCCACCTGCCCTACGCCCCGTATCGATCGATTATTTTGTGTTTACCCGAACTATCGTCGACCCGAAAAGTCGGGACGTGAAACTTTCACATTTAAGAGCGGTAAAGGAGATATGAATGCTTCTTTGATTACAGATCATAATGCTGCGCAGAAAAGGCTGATTTTTTCTAGAAATCAAAAAACAACCCCACAAAGCAGCCAAATTTTGAGCAACTTTCGGAATGTTCGTTATGAAGAAGCAATCTCAATTTATTTCAAATTTTATGAAAATGTCAACTCTTTGAGCTTCCTCTGTAAATTTTTTGGTCCTGCAAGAATTCCAGCCTTATTTTACCCACTACTGTGAAAAAATCTCCACAATCTCCTTTGCAAGTTTTGGTTTGCAATTTCACGCTGGATTCGACTATTGCGAAGTGGAAACTTCTAAAGATAGGACGAACACCATCTCATGTCCGGCCGACTCCCCTTATTTCGCGCTCTCTCTCCCTCAAAGGCGAGATCGACCCACCGTATCGTGTCAGCGGATCAGCAACACACAAAAACAAAACTCTCTGCGCATGTGCGATTATCTTGATCAAAGGCTGTGACATGCGGCAGATGAAACAAATTAATCACGATACTACCAACGCTTTGAAGTGTTTTGCGGATAGTCGAATGAAGCAAATGTCTCGTAAATGTATTTATTTTAAAATAGATGTCTATTGGAGCTTACAGGGGAAGTACCCCAAGTGCGACGCTCAGATTTTGTTGAAACTTGGCACAAATTTAGAATAATTTTATTATAAGATACATGCGAGGATCTTAGCTCGCGCTTTGCAGAAACAACCGAGATTTTTAGAACGAAAGTCGGCCAAAATTTAGGACTTTTTGCCGAATTTCGACACGAAAAGTTTCATGCCTATTTCAACCGTAAAGGATAATGTTTCTACAAAAAATCAAAATTTTCCGCATGAAACTGCCAAAGTTATGGCCAAAAAGCGTTTTTTCTCTGACCGCTCTCCACGTTTAGCGTGCTCTCTCGGCGGCAAAAATCGTTTGATATTTCGGCGGCGCCCGCAAAGCGCGAGCTAAAACTTTCAGGACTTGATATTTAGTCCATACCCGACATGTGTGAAAAAATCTGAGCGTCGCAGTTGGAGTACTTCCACTGTTAGATTTTAAAAATTTCCCGTGTTCTATGCATCGGACATTTTGAGCATTTCAACGCTTCCAAAAAATTGGAGCAGCCATTTGCAGCCACGGTCTACGTGCCGCATGTTTGGTCCTTGTTATGGCGCTAGGTCATCTGAAAGGGAGGAAAATTGTAAAATTTATTTTTAGCTGCATCTTTCCACCTTAGCCCGTCCCCAAGACTTAAAAATACAAAAACTGTTGAACCTACAGCGTTTTAACTCTTCCAGTGGCCGAATTATTGCATAACGTGTGCTCTCTGACCGCTCTCCACGTTTAGCGTGCTCTCTCGGCGGCAAAAATCGTTTGATATCTCGGCGGCGCCAGCGAAGCGCGAGCTAAAACTTTCAGGAGTTGATATTTAGTCCGTACCCGACGTGTGTGCAAATTTTAAAGAAACTCTGAGAGTCGCACTTGGAGTACTTCCCCTGTTAGATTTAAAAAATCCCCGGTGTTCTATGCATCGGACGTTTTGAGCATTCCAACGCTTCCAAAAAATTGGAGCAGCCGTTTGCAGCCACGGTCTACGTGCGGCATATTTGGTCGTTGTTATGGCGCTAGGTCATCTAAAAAGGAAGAAAAGTGTAAAATTTATTTTTAGCTGCGTCTTTCCACCTTAGCCCATCCTGAAAATTTAAAAATACAAAAATTGTTGAACCTACAGCGTTTCAACTCTTCCAGAGGCCGAATTATTGCATAACGTGTACCCGACGTATGATGACATAGATGGCTGATATTTTTAGCATCTGAAATTAAAGGCTGCTTGTAAAAAAATATCCAACCACATTCTGCAATATACTTCTATACAAAAAATGTCTGAAAATATCAAATATAAGGCTACAGTGACGGACCTCATGAAGTGGCAAAAAACGCACCTACTACATTGTTTGAAGTATCAAAAAATGTAGTAAGATGCCTCTAACTCCAACTAATAACAAGCTCCGTTTTGATTGGCGCGCCCTTTCCCTCACAAAAGAACGGGCGCGCTTTTGAAATCGGAGATTTTTCATTTGGAGAGGAAGGTACTTTGCCACATTTTTGATACTTTTCGGAGACAAAATGGTACGTTTTTTGTCACTGGATCAGGTCCGCCACTGTATAGCTCTGAAACGCGGAGGCTTTCTAACAAAAAGTCCTGATAATTTTGACACAGTGAAGGTTTGCGAGCCTTGGCGCGTCACTGCGAAAATCGCGAAAAAAGTGCTCTTTCTGCAACTTGCAGTGTGAAAAGAAAAGTCAGGGTTAACAGGCCAAAAAAAAGCGGTGAAAAAAAGCCTTTCGCACAGAAAAGTTAGCTTTTGTTTTCCACAGAGCATGTCGCTAGAATCACTCCAGCGACTTTAAAAATGGCCTTGTAATTAAAGAAAAAGAATTTGAGCCAAGTCGAATCAAAAAAACTTTAAAACGCGTTTCACTACACTTTGAAGCTCAGCATAACAGAGGCCGGACCTTGTTAAAATCGATGTCTCAGAATTAAACCAAAATTGGTCAACTTATCAACTTAATTACCAAAAAATGACCAAGTTTTCGAAATCATTCCAAAAATTTTCTGTTTTAGCGGTTTCGGCTCGAAAATAGTTCTTCGAAACTTTGGGAAGGCATGTCAGTCCACAATATATTTTTTTGAAATACAATCGGTTAAAAATGGCGGGTCTCAGCTACAGAAAAGTCTAAATTTCGGGAAAAATCGGTGGAGTCTCCGCGGAGAAATTCAAAGAAACAACTTTCCCGCTTCGAGCGGCCCACCCTGTAGAACACTCGCTTTCTTTGTTTTTTTTTATAGTTACTATATGACCGATCACTGTAACATTCTTTCGCAAAAAAAGATGTGACCTAACCGAGAAAACGGAGCGATATTTCAGCGCGAATCGAGTTCAGGCTTATGTTTTCGACCAGAAAAAAAACATATACTCCGCCGATTTAATTTGGACCAGTCTGAAACTTGAAGACGGTTACAGAAATGAACTCCATTCCTTCAACAAGTTTGATCACCAGTCGACTCTATGTTCAACTGTAGCAAAACATTTCCTCTGCCTTGAGGCGCAGGAAAAATATACAGATTTTTTAAATTTTGGCTGTCGGAAAAGTTTGGACCAGGGCAACAAAAATTTGCATTTCTTTATCACTAGGTGGGATGAAGCCATGATAACTTGTGAAAATAATTGTGATTCCCTGCTAGTTCTAACGATATGCTATTCCGAGATCATCGCTGTGTTTAAGGCCCTGAGGGCAGTTTTTAAGAAAATTCCCAGAATTCCAGAAATTTTTTGCCCTAGCTCTTGAGTAGAAGAGATAAATCGTCTTAAATTAGTTTCAGTGCAACCACAGTATAGTGTTCATCTAATTGGATGACGTTATAAAATAGTTTTACATCCAAAATTTTTTGTTCTTGGAGGATTTGTGACGTACCTTCAAAGAAACACGGCTGGTTCCTTCTTGTTGTAGACCAGACTTCTGTAATACGTCAAGGCCAGTTTTGGCCAGCTGATGACATTCAAAACTTGAGCCATGACAAATTTAGGAGCTTTTCTCATCTTCGCTCCAAAATTTCGGATCTTTCTCGATATTCTTGTCCATCTCCCTTCCTCTTCGACAAAGCCATCGGGTCGTGGGGCGGGTATGATCCGAATCAGATAGCAACCACGACATTTTAACTTGTAGCCGGCAAAGAAGTTGTAAATGTTTTTAATGATGAGATATAGGATACCGCCGAGCGTAAATGTGATGAGGAAGAACAGGAAAATCTTCTGCATTAGATTACAACATCTGTCTCTAAAGTATGGTATATGTAGTTTATATGTAAAATGAAAGCCGATATCTTATGTTCAAATGTAACTAGGGTTGTTAGTTTGCCATAAATTGTTCAAAATGAAGTCATTTTTTATTTTTTTTCGGCATATTGGATAAATTGAAAATTCTGATACACAAATTTTTCGCAAATTTTTTTTATTTTTACGAGGGGAAGTACTCCAAGTGCGACGCTCAGATTTCGATGAAACTTGGCACAGATTTAAAATAATTTTTTCTAAGATATATGCGAAAATCGTAGCTCGCACTTTTCAGAAACAACCGAGATTTTTAGATAGAAAGTCGGCTTAAATTTAGGACTTTTTGCCGAATTTCGGCACGAAAAGTTTCAGCTCTATTTCTACCATAGAGAGTAATGTTTATACAAAAAATCAAAATTTTCCGCACGAAACTGCCAAAGTTATGGCCAAAAAGCGCTTTTCTCTCTGACCGCTCTCCACGTTTAGCGTGCTCTCTCGGCGGCAAAAATCGTTCGATATCTCGGCGGCGCCCGCAAAGCGCGAGCTAAAACTTTCAGGAATTGATATTTAGTCCATACCCGACGTGTGTGCAAAATTTAAAGAAAATCGGAGCGTCGCACTTGGAAGACTTCCCTTGTTAGCAAAATTTTCCGAAAAAAAGCTGAATTTGATGTTCAAAATGACACAATAATTTAACATGATGAAAATTACGGCAATTTGTCAACATGAGTGACGGCTCAAGTTGACGACTTAACAACATTAAATGTAACTTACGAGCTCCTCGAGCGACCCGTATATAAAGTGTGCATGATATCGACAAGTGACTCGGCTTCCTGAAAAACAAAATTACAACTTTTAAAAAAAAATTGTAACCTCTTAATCGCCTTATAGAATGCAAAAAGGACAATATAAGTTTGTAAAAAACGAAAAAAATGCCAAGAGAAGTGGAAGAGAAATTCTTCCAACGTCCGAAAAGCCCGCCTTTTAGCACTGGCTGCATCACGTATGTCCGCCTTTTTGTGCCAGGAAAAGAGTCTTTTTCTGGCCGAAATCCAAACAAAAAGAGAGGCAGGTCAAGATTTTGCGCTCAAAGGGTTATCTTTCAACACGAAAGGTTGGCATTCTGTTCCCGCTTATGAAAGTGTCCAAAAAATCAGTCTCACTGACTGTTTTTTGGACGAGGTCAGACGAAAGGCGAAATATTGCGTAAAATGAAGAGATAGGGCTCGAGACTAACGCAGCCTGCGGCTGCTACCGTCTCTCGGGCGGCCCTGCGGATAAAGGCAACTTTGCGCGCGATTTAGATCGGTTCAACGTCGAAAACAGCACAAACGCTCGCCAAAGCTTTGCCGACGGCCTCCGGCCGCGGCAGAAAAACGCTACGCGTTAGACTGAGCCTAGTAGAAACTTGTGACGTTCGGAACGCTAAGCCGCCCTTGTTTTAGGTCGAGAAGTTAAGATCGCTAAGCTTACACTAATCGCTAAGCTCAGGTCAGTTCCAGATCGCTAAGCCCGGCTAAAGAGCCCGCCGGCATGAGGCGACGGCCTACGGCCGCCGCGAGACTACATTTTGTTACCTAAAATAATTTTTCTTCCACCATAAGCTGATCAAAATCGCATAAGATAAGCAAAAATCAACTAAAAAAATGGACTCAGCACTCAAAAGCTTCCTAAGACAATATTTTTCCCGAAATCCCCGTCAAATTTGGCCCTAAAACGGCCAAATCCCGAGAATCCAGGACCAAAAAAAATATTTTTACAAAAATTTCTCGAAAAAATCCAGAAAACCCCGTCATGACGCGTCATGATGACCGTTTCCCTACCACCCTCCTCACTCTCACCAGTCTCTCCGTCTTATCTCTGACCGAAATCGAAAGCGAAAACATTTCTCTAACCACCCTCCACCGCTTTCCCACTCTCTCTTTTCTCCCGCCAAACGAAGAGGAAAGCGGTCCTCTGCCCGCTCTCTCTCTTCGCCGCGCTCTTTTTTGGTGTTTTCGTCCGTGGAAGTGGGCGTTTTTTTAAAACTGGCACTTGTTGCACTAAAAGTACCGGAGAAAAAGATACGACTGTATCCAAAATCATGTGGAGATTCCGAATATGTAACTTTTAGACGAATTTTAGTTGGAAATTTTTGAGTTTGGTCGATTTTTCCGATTTGTAATTTTTGGGTCTAAAATTTTCGCACACGATTTGGCCTTAGGGGCTTGTCACACGGTTCGGATTTTACCGGTTATGCCAAGGCAACAAAATTATCTAGTGCACGCGTGGAGCCGATTTTTGAATTTCGACCTTGTTCCCCAGCTATAGTAACTTTTGTTAAAGTAAGTAAAATCCAAAAATTCGGAAATTCGAATACTGCTTTTTCAACTTGTGCGTATGTTAGGAATGGATATCTGTTTCTGTAGCAGTTCAATGTGCTGAATACGATGGACGAAATTAAAATCCGAAAAAATTCGATTCCAAGCCCTCAGGGCCGAATTTTAGCCGAAATTTCGAAATTTTTCTTCGGAGACACAGTGCGCACGGAATATTGAAGGTAGAAAGCTGAAACTTGGCACGATGGTAGTTCATTTTGTGTCCTATAGCACCCATATGATCAATTTGTTCAACTTCGCTTATTGCCCTGAGGGCGACTTTTTTCGCACGGTGCACCAAAAATCGACCGAAATTTCCGGCGGCTCTGACGGCCGTAATTTTAAAGATACGCTGAAGATGTAAGCGGGTAATTTGTAGAGCTCTTCGAGCTCTACAATTTATAGTTGGACATTTTTGAAATCGTTGTTGTACATCAGGGAGAAAAATTTGAAAAAGTCAAAATTTTGAAAATTTCGAAAAATTGCGTTTTCAAGTATGTAGATGGTCTGAAGCGATAGTTACGTAGAATGGCCTGAAAACATGTAAGGACAATGTCCGGGCAAAAAAAATAAGATTTGCGAGTGATTTTTTTGAATTTCGACCTGGGAGCCGAGAACCATTTTGTTGAACTTTGCACTGTGCAAATCGTATTTTTTACAGTAAGCCATAGCTAAAATACGAAGTACACTACAAAAAAGAAAGACACGACCTAATAGGAAGTCTGGTACGTAGAATTCAATCGAATCAAAAAAATCCAGAAAATCCGTCATCATGACGGGGTTTTCTGGAAGTGTAACTTTGTACATGGTCGTATCTACACATACATCGAGTTATCTCTTAGTTATGAATTTGCTTTCCCGATATGGACCTGTAGAAGCTTGCATTTCAATAAAGCTGGACGCGTCGAACGTTTACGAAAAAAGGTCATTTTCTGAGATTTTTTTCGTAAATTTTGAAATTTCGAAAAAATCTCGACAGTGATTGTCCCATTATGTACCATACGCCACGAAACCAAAAATCAAGTCGGTAGCTGTAAAACGGAGCGAGATACAGAGACTCAAAGTTTCGACTTTTCATGACGTCATAGGTCACTCAAAATACAAAATTTTGAAAATTTTTTTCAAATTCACAAAGAGAGCATCTAAGACAACCCTCATGCCAAAAATCAAGTCAATCGGAGCAAAAGAAAAAAGAAACCCCAAACCTTATGAATAGATATATTTTAGACTAGGGCTCGAGACTTCGCAGCCTGCGGCTGCTCACGCCTCTCGGGCAGTCCTGCGCCCGGTTTCGCTGCTTTGCGCCCGGTATTGCTGCTCTTCGCGCGATTTGGACCTGTTCAACGTCCAAAACAACATAAACGCTCGCCAAAGCTCTGCCGACGGCCTCCGGCCGCGGCAGAAAAACGCTACGCGTTAGACTGAGCCTAGTAGAAACTTGTGTCGTTCGGAACGCTAAGCCGACTTTGTTTTAGATCGAGAATTTACCCTAATCGCTAAGCTCAGGTCACTCCCAGATCGCTAAGCCCGGCTAAAGAGCCCGCCGGCATGAGGCGATGGCCTACGGCCGCCGCGAGACTACATTTTTTACCTAAAATAATTCCCCTTCCCCAAAAGTTGATCAGAAATACTTTCAGCAACCAAAATCAACAAAAAGAATCAAAAAAAATGGACTCGGCACTCAAAGTTACCCTAAGACAATATTTTTTTCGAATTCCCCATAAAATTTGGCCCTAAAACGGCCAAATCCCGAGAATCCAGGCCCAAAAAAATAATTTTACAAAAATTTCTCGAAAAAATCCAGAAAACCCCGTCATGACGCGTCACGACGACAGTTTCCGTACCACCCTCCTCACACTCAGCACTCTCTTCGCCTGATCTCTAACCGGAATCGAAAGAGAAAACCTTTGTCTAACCACCCTCCACACCTTTCCCATTCTCTCTTTTCTCCCGCCGAACGAAGAAGGAAGCGGTTCTCTGCCCGCTCTCTCTCTTCGCCGCGCTCTTTTTTTGTGTTTTCGTCCGTGGAAGTGGGCGTTTTTTCAAAACTGGCACTTGTTGCACTAAAAGTATCGGGGAAAAAGATACGACTATGCCCGAAATGACACGGAGATTCTGAATATGTAACTTTTAGTCGAATTTTAGTTGGAAATTTTGGAGATTTGACGGTTTTAAAAATTTTGAATTTTTTGAGACCGCCGCTTCAAACATGATATCTGATCATATCTTTGGATGTCAGATACGAAATTCCGGCTACGGAATGATAATTCAATTATCTAGTGCGTCCCAGGCGGGATTTTTGAATTTCGACCTTGTTCCCGAGCTATAGTAACTTTCGTCAAAGTAAGCAAAATCCGAAAATTCGGAAATTTGAATACTGCTTTTTCAACCTGTGCGTATTTTACGAATCGATAGCTGTTTCTGTAGCAGTTCGATGTGCTGAATACGATGGACGAAATAAAAATCCGAACAAATTCCGTTTCAAGCCCTCAGGGCCGAAATTCGGCCAAAATTTCGAAATTTTTCTTCGGAGACACAGTGCGCACGGAATATTGCAGGTAGAAAGCTGAAACTTGGCACGATGGTAGTTCATTTTGTGTCCTATAGCACCCATATGATCAATTTGTTCAACTCCGCTAATTGCCCTGAGGGCAATTTTTTTCGCACAGTGCACCAAAAATCGACCGAAATTTCCGGCCGCTCTGGCGGCCGTAATTCGACAGATACGAACGTAGTGTAAGCGGGTAAATTGTAGAGCTCTTCGAGCTCTACAATCTATTGTTGGACACTTTTGAAGTTGTTGTTGCGGAACATGACGAAAAATTTGATTTTCTGAAAATTTCTAAAATTTGAAAAAAATGCGATTTTCAATATAGAACTGGTTCTGGGAGATGACGATGACTACAGGTCCAAAAACAAATTGAGGACAATCTTCGGGCAAAAAAAATAAGATTTGCGAGTGATTTTTTTGAATTTCGACCTGGGGGCCGAGAACGAATCTTTTGAAATTTGCACTGTGCAAATCGTATTTTCTACAGTAAGCCATGGCTAAAATACGAAGTACACTACAAAAAAGAAAGACACGACCTAATAGGAAGTCTGGTACGTAGAATTCAATCGAATCAAAAAAATCCAGAAAATCCGTCATCACGACGGGGTTTTCTGGAAGTGTAAGTTTGTACATGGCCGTATCTACACATACATTGAGATATCTCTTAGTTATGAATTTGCTTTCCCGATATGGACCTGTAGAAGCTTGCATTTCAATAAAGCTGGACGCGTCGAACGTTTACGAAAAAAGGTCATTTTTTGAGATTTTTTTCGTAAAATTTGAAATTTCGAAAAAATCTCGACAGTGATTGTCCCATTATGTACCATACGCTATGAAACCAAAAATCAAGTCGATACCTATAAAACGAAGCGAGTTACAGTAATCCAAAGTTTTGACTTTT